GTAAATTTGGAGCAGTAGTTGAAAAATAGTTAGGTTTTTCCAACGGTGGTCGGCTGACCACCGTTGGAAATCAATACAAAAATACAACTTTTCTTGAAAATTACTTCACACCAGGTGCCATAATTTTACTGGATGCTTTAAACTGTCATTTACCAACATCCTAGTAAGATATTTCGTAAAACTTTGGTAGTTTTGTTTTTCGATGTTTGCAAATGTTGTATAGTCCCTTTAAACAACTGGATTCTATTCAAATTACAATTTTTTTATCACAGTGTCAACATGCGGGGTCTACTTGAAACAAAAATAGTGTACACAAAATTTTACGCTTACACATGTGCCCACATTCTCATTGGAAGGACTTCGTCAAGAAATTTATGCTTGGTTCTTTTTTTTAAAATGCAAGGATTTGTGAGAGCAAATGGTGAACAATCTCTGGATTCGGAGAAAAATACTTCCTACATCTAGGTTTTGGTTTCAGAACCACTTGTAGAAATAATAGGCATGCATGGTACAATGCCAATTCTAAAAAAAAAGTGGGTCTAAAATAGCAAAACGTTTCAAAGTCGATCTTGGTTCACAAGGCTGGAATGATGAAACGCACGATGGTTATGCAGGGCACCTCGTATCACCTATTATACAACCGACATACAGATCCTTGTCATTTGATTGGTGAAACACACATCATGTGACATTCGTTATTACTCCCATTCACGCCGGGTCACGCCGGGGCTTAAAGAGTCCCATTCGCCCATGGGGAATGGGAAATATTATTGAACAGTTAGGATCGATGCTTGTTCCATGACGCGGTATTTGTGTGCAAATGCGTGCTGGTGTGCGCATTCAGCAATGCGCGTAGCGCGTATTGTTCTAAAGAGCCAGCGCTACAGAGTTGGGTTCAAACATTTTCACGAAGGGGTGGTTTGGAAGAGAAAAACACATTTTCAACCAATTTTGTATTGAAATAAAAGATCAAGTATATCAAATGACAAGGATCTATATAATATCAGTTATTTGAAACAAATATTGAGTGGCTTTAAATTGTGAAATGGGAGGAACATTATCGCTAGGTAAAATCTGGACTTTTCCCCCCATTAATATTCCTTCCATTTCACTCTGAGCCACTCAATATTTGTATATCATATCACACGCAATGAGTACACTGCCAACCAACCTTTGTCATACTGTTATCATAAAGCCATCAACTAATTTGCATGTATCAACTGGGATAGGGAGAATGGGCAAAGTTTGAACATTTCTGAGTGACAGACCTCAGTGTAAAAGTGCTTTGTGAGTCAACAGGTTAGGAAGAAAATCTCACTGTCACGACTGCCCAAGGAAATTATGGGCTCTATTACATGGAAATGAAAAGAAGAAGAAAATCAACAAGGGAAAATCAATTACTGCTTCGGTATTCAGTGCATGTCTGATGTGCACCCAGATTGAGTGTGCAAAATATTCTATAAACCTACGAGGTTGGAAATTGAAAATGTGCCCTGAGCATTAAGGCCAAGTAAAAAAAAAACATGTTTAGCGTCCTGGTTTTTGAAAAAAAAAGGGAGGAGGCCCTTTTTTTTTTCCCCTTCCAAAATGGCCGCCCAACCGGGCTATTTTTTAAGATGGCCACCAGCTTTTAAAAAAAAATGGCCGCAACTTGGACTCAGGAATGACATACATGGAGCAGCTTTATATGGGCTAGATGCAACAGACAAAGAGGCCATAATGATGTCACTGTTTAAAATTTATCATTTTTCATGATTATATAAAAAGAAAAGAAAAAAATAGGAGGCAGCGGCCTCCAAAAGGAAGCGGGTGGGGACGCTAAACATGTTTTTTTATTTGGCCTAAGCAGTGTTGATGCGATCCTGTGAGCAAACTAGGCCGCACAATCTACGCAGCGATCTTCAGTTACCATACAAAAATACAAAATATGTGTAAACTATACCAGACACTCCGTGCTTTACTTCTAGAACACATACCCACTGGAATATTTTCTGATACTAGATTGTCCCGAGTTAATGATTTTGGTTCTTATAAAACACACGCAGCGAGGGTGAGTCACGTTGTTATGGCATTGAACTGAAAAATTCAATAAGCTTGCCCGTGCACAAATTTGTATATATCTCTTTCCCTAGGGATTTGTAGTATGCGCGTATATTTGCGATACAACAGCCATCAAGTGACATTTGACATGTCTTGTCTTGAAGATTACCTGTAAAAATACACAGATGATGTTTCTGGATGGTGAAATATATGTTACTGTGGGCTAGACATGTACAAATCACACGGTTCATGTTAATTAAAGTTTAAGGCCTCAAATGCCAAATGTTAACGTTTATAGCACAGATGTACATACACTTACTCTTGCACATCGACCATTCTCAAATTTCATTCAAATGCATATTTTTTTTTGGAGTCGTTTTATCAAATTACACACGGGCCGTAACTTCATTTCAAAGCAAAGCACAAAAAAACCAAAAAAAATTACAAAGCCTGCCACGTTCCAGCATTTGAAAAATAAAAAGCCAATTTCATTTTAATGCTATCATAACAAGCTTGAAATGATCTCGGATGATGCGGCCCAAACTGTAGACCTGTTGTGGCCTATAAAAGTCTGTTTTATATAATGCACTACTAGTACTACTCACATGATTGTGACTGTCAATTGAAATAAAGGATTCCTAGTTGTTGAATGTCAGTTTGTGCATCGAGCGTTTTATAGCTGCATGTATGCTACATGTAGGTACATGTGGAACACCAAATTTGTGTGCAGTACAGTGCAAGTCCCAATGCTAAGTGTTTTTAGTACCAACATCTGGTTTTTGACTCAAATAAATAAATAAATAACAATAAATTAATAGCTGGTCAGTGGAGACCTATGCAACTGTCACAATTCAGGGCCATGAACCTGAGGCATGTGTTGTTGCGAGGGCCTAAGGGACAAGGTGATTGATGGCCATGAAAGGCATATGGGGAAGTTTGTTACTCACCAACCAATCAACCAACTAACCAACCAACCAACCAACGGAGAGACACGAGTACTTGTAGAGCTGCTTAGCCGCAGCTAAAAATGTAAACCTTTGTTATCTGTTTTCCCCCTTTTTTGAATCGAACCCATATGAACCCAAATATGCTGTTTTATCAGGCCAAGAAAAAAAAATAGTTCTGCTTCCAATTACATGGCATTTGAAAATAGGGTAGGTAGGTAGGGAGTTTTGTTTTTTGGCAATTTGTTTGTGTACGATCATATGGAGGTGTCAGCATGAAGTCAAGGGTAAAAGGTAGTAGTTGATGATTTTCGGTTTTTTTTCCCCCCTCATTTCCCCCCCCCAAAAAAAATTAGGGTAGGGGCTGTCAAAAAAGAGTAGGTAGGGTAACTAGAAGCAGAATTATTTTTTTTGTTGGCCTAAGTAATCCAACAGATGATCAAGCTTCACTTGTTTTTTGAGAATATAAAATAATGACCATAAAAAGTATAAGCATACGGAGACCTTTTTTTGTTGTTGCTTATCTGCAATGTCATCACATCAAACAGGTTATATCTTGGCAATCGCAATCATCTGAAGTATGACTAAATTTATCCAATGCAAAGCTACAGGTAACCCCCCCCCCCCTATACTTGGCAAATCTTGTGTACCGAGTGGAATTTCTACTCTGGAATAAGGAAAATTATGTAAAAACAGCAAAACAGTTAACAACCAACTTATTATTTCTTGGGAGATAATATGCAATCAACAAAATCCCACCTCACATGCAAAGAGGGTGCGAGTAAGACAACTGTGCATGTGATGTAGTATGTGCATGTAATCATACATGCCCATGGGGTCTACACAATCTGTCCTTGAAGTCAATAATAATTTGACAGCTAATTACATCTATGATTTAATAAAAATCTCATGAGTATGCACCACATACATGTAACGTGTACAATTACGTAAAGGGCATATTTCATCACTTTTTGCATACTGCTTCTTATCCATATGTCATAGCATACCGGTATGTCTTTTTGAATTCTAGGTTTGGATTACAATTTTTGGTGTGAAAAAAAAATGTGTAGATACAAAATAACTTTAAGGACTTTTAGTGGTGAACTCTAATTTAAGTGTTGTTTGTGATTCAAAACCCCTTTTAAATGGTCAATCCTCCATTTGTTTTAGTTAAAAATCCCAAACCCGTTCGTGGACAAATGAAGATGTCAAGAAGACACAATTTTTGTTGAGGAGTGGCTGGCCGAAATTTAATCTGTTTATACATGAAAAAGTTGTTTATTTTTTTCAGGGGGGAGGAGGATTGGGTGACTTAGTGCGTGGCTACCCCCTGATATTTTAGATCCTTTCACCAATAAATTATTCAAAACATGGACGAACTGGGGAAGCAACATATAAATTGTTTGGCTTCAGCCCCCTCCCCGGACTAACTAAACACACTTTGTCACATTGATCAGGTTGAGCATGGTGGAAACAATTATTTTTGTTTCTTTTTCAGTCTTCCTGGTCATACCTCGTAACATAAATAACCCCAATCACAGGCAGTTAAAAATGACATTCAGAACCAAAACTGAAGTCTTCTGACTCTGTCGATTTGAATAATACAAGGCAAATGCTCTTTTCACACTGCAGTTTGGGCACTGGCGCTGTGACATGACTTTATATATATATATTACCGTAATCCTTCTGTCTTTCTATTTATTATGATGTACTTTACATTTATTGTTGATTCTGTAATGCCCTTTTGATCATTTATATGCAAAAGGGGCATTATAAATTTAAATTATTATTATTATCATTATTATTATCATCATATTATCTTACTGCCATGAATAGATAAGAAACCCTGCACCATATTGTACACGATGAATGTTTGCTGTTAGTACGGCAACTAGTACTGAAACCAAGGCTGTGCCGATAAAAGTCTGTCCAATAAAAAATAGACTGATTCACACTACAGAGAAAAACACGTGGAGATTTTCTAATCGGCTTTTTTGTTTTTCTCTTTGATTACAGCAAGAGAGTTTACGTTCTTTCCCTGTCAGTGTCTGGGACTGCACACAAACTCATCATGCGCCTAAAACTGTACGCCAGCAGGCGGAATATATCGGTGTTGATGGTCATCATCGTCATGCAGGTTTCCCTAACCTGCGTCTGGCTGGCCTTCAATGGACACAGCAGCGGGAACAATCTGGAACAGACTGAACAAGACCCAGAGAAAAGACCAAACGGGGTCCAGAATTCAATCGTCCCCCAACCGGGGGAAGGCGACACCAGACACTCCCAGCGACACGTTGACAAATCCTCCTCAAAGTCTGAGGAAAAGAAACAGGACAGCAAAGGAGAGACATTCCACAGAAATAAAAAATCCCCAGCTAGATCAACCAGAGGGCGGCCAGAAGCAGTGCCGACCAAAAATAAGCAATCGGTCAGGAGAATTCAAGATTCCCAGAGTAAATTTGTGTTTCGTATGATTTCGTCGGCAGTGTCTTATTGCGATGGGAATGTGGAATTTTATGAGAATATGACTGCACTCATGAGAAATGTGATTGTGGATCCTGCAAAAGCGCACACAACAGCCAGAGGTGGAGAGAAAATTAAAGATGTACTGCTCCAGCACGAAAGTGCCGAGTTCTACCACCAAGAAAATGGACTGCTCAATGTGGAAAACTGCTCCAACATTCCAGCCCCTAACGTCTTTAAATTTGGCCATGCTTCCCCTCAAGTTCCGCTGTTGAGTAGTGCAGTGAAGATATCAAAGGGCCCCTATCAGACTCAAGGGGAAGAAATACAAAAACATGACGGTGACTTTGTGATCTTACTTACCCGCTTTGAATATGCCAACGTTTACTGGACTGTCATCGACTTGTACGATACTTTCCTCACGATGCAGCTGTACAATCGGACTTTCAAGAACACAGATCTCTGGATTTTCGATGCCCACCCCGACACCTCACTGGACAGTCTCTTCAAGGGCACGTTCAGGCGGGTTTTCCGAATAGCAGAGATCAAGGGCAAAACCCAGATCAGAAATCTGCTGCCATGCTTCAGTCGGGGAAAGACTCCCATTTTAGACAAGGTCCTGCGGCCGTTGACTCTTGTTGAAAAATTCCGACGTGAAGTGCTTTCTGCTTTGGGAGTTCCAATGAAATCTGACAAGGATCGGGAGAGACGCTGCCATGGGAAGAGACTGAATGTCCTCTTCATCTGGAGAAGGAATTACGTTGGACATCCAAGGAATCCAAAAGGCATTGTGTCTCGGAAAATCTCCAATGAGGACGAGTTGCTGGTTAGCGCAAAGCACCATTTTCCAAACTACACCATCCGGGGCGAGCAGCTTGACAAGCTCCCGATGAAGAGACAGCTTGAACTGATCGGGAATGCAGACATTATGGTGGGCATGCACGGAGCAGCCTTTGGCTTCACTGTATTCATGCACAAAGGGGCTGGGGTCCTGGAGATGTGGCCGAGGGCATTTCAAGGCAACTGGCACATGGAGTACCTGGCTAAACGCAGCGGCATTTTCTACCAGAGCTGGCAGAACACTGAATCTGCCAACGAGAACCTAGTAGAGAAATCCACCAAAGTGTCCCTCGATGCTGTTAAAAGTAAACTGGAGGAGCTGTCGATAAGCATTTGTACAAAGTACAACGACAAAGCAACTGTGTGATGATAAATGAGAGGTGATGACAAATGTCAATCGATTTACTACATTTATTAAGTTACATTAATTCAATATGAGTGTTTCTTAACTTCCAGATGTATGTATGAGCATGTCATTTCTGAACCCGATCAGGTATTGTAAACACAGCTGTCCACATGTTATTTTTTTGTTATTAACATATGTTCCACTTAAGGATGTGACGTTTACACGTTTAAACAAAACAAAAATCTAAATCCGTTTACAAATTTTCCAAAACGTTTGAACGAAACTGAGTTGTAAAAGGGACATACGTTCACTCTATCTCCCTTTGAGTTGTATTCATGTATTCACACAGCAAAAAAAAAAAAAAAAAAAAAAAATGTTGTTTTTCAAACTTATTTAAACACTGTAGTACTTGATTACATTTGGGGTACATGTTTGTAAGACTGCCCGCTGTTTATTGTGTCAATCACACCGGTCTGCATAATAAACGTTTAAACAGTTCTTAAAATATTGGCTAAACATTTACAAAATTTAACGTAAAGTCACATCCTTAGTTCGAAATTCCGTTCAAGTAAAACTTACTGCTGTGTCATCACTAAATTTAGCAACAGTACAGATGTATATTTTTAATGAGAAGAAATAAGGTACAGATCTTTACTTTCAATGAGTATGTCAGACGGCCTGACGTTGCAATCTTAGCAGGAAATCTTTTGTCTTTGAGAGAGATTTGGCTAGGATCAGAACATCAGGCCCTCTTACTTTTTTGATTTGCACAGGGTGAGTAAAAAAAACCCACGAAAACCCAAATGGCAAGACCATTTTTTGAATGAAGTTTTGCCTGTAGCACTTTCAAAATCTAGGATATGAAAGCCTAGTCATTAAGCTGTCTTTTAGTACAAGAATCATTCAAATCACTTATGTACTTTTCAAGTTATGGAATTTTGAACACAAACACTGTTTTAAAGTTCTGTCCACGGATCACACAAAAAACCAAGTGTTCTTTCAGCAAAACGAAAACAATTCTTGTAGTTATAGGGATCCATGTGAATTGTTTTCGTTTTGCTGAAAGAACACTTACCGTTTTTGTAATCCGTGGACAGAACTTTAAAACGGTATTTATGTTTAAATTCCGTAACCTGAAAAGTACATGAGTGATTTGAATGATTCTTGTACTAAAAGAAAGCTCATTGATTGGGCTCTCATATCCTAGATTCTGAAAGTGCTACAGGCAACACTTCATGCAAAAATTGGTCCTGCCATTTGGGTTTCGTTTTTCTTTTACTCACCCTGTATATTTCAAGGCTAGTCAGTCAGTACGCAGTTTGCAGCAATTTCTTTTATTTTTCATACGAGGACATAAAGTACTTTTTTTAGAAAAAAAAATGTGTGTCCAGCATTATATTTTTAATGATTTGAATGCGGTGAAGGTTTGATTGCATTTCTTCATTTATGTAAATTGTCTTTTCCTGAAAAAAAACAACCCCACACAGTACTTTCATGTTTGCTTTAATTATGGTACTATTTTTGTGTGTGCGCAACTGGACAAATCTCCAGTGTGCAAAGGTTACAGAAAACTAACCATTAATCCGGCTCTGAAACACGGTACACAATGCCCCGTTAATGGCGAAGCATTGTGCTAATTACATGTACAAAACAACTGTTCAACTGGCATATGCTCCCATCATTACTAGGGGACTGTGCGAGTGCACAGTGATTCCGTTCCTAGATTGGTCTGTACAGTTCAGTACTGCAAGCAATTAAAGATATTTTAATTTGTGGAGAAAGAGAAAGTCTCCTCAAGAAGAAGATCACTCAGTTAAATAATAGCTGAAAGCTGTACAACAAACAGAATGTGGAACAGCCTAAAATAACAAAAATCTGTGAAGAAAGAAATTATCCTTTCAACTTTGCTGCATGTTGAAGCATTAAGTCCAGCAGCAGCAAAAATGTTCTGTCAGCTTTTGTTAATCTGCACAGCTCCCTGCAAAACAGAGCACAGTCTTTCTTGTTTAACGAATTTGGCAGGGTTGGCATTTTGACTCACTTGGGTTCAGCAAGGTGGTTAATGAGTAATGATAAGGCCAAAAAAAAAATAAGTCGGTCTCTGGTCAGCGCGCGCGTCGATTTTAATCATGCGCGTCAATCTTTTTTTCCCCAAAAATCTTCCGCAGTAGCTCCAACAGCGCCCTCTATTGCCGCACCTCCTCAATTTTTTTTTTTACCAAAGAGCACCAAGGAATGGGAAATTGCACCAAGGCAAATGATCGAGAGCACCAAGGCAAATTATGGAGGACACCAATGTACATGAGGACACCAAATAGCAAAATAGTACCCCACCTTGTCTGTACAAACCAAGCTTGAAGAAAAAAAAAGCCAGAAAAAAAAAAAAAGGCCGCGTCAATTCCGGAACTTTGGTCTGACCAGAGACCGAATATTTTTTTTTTTGGCCTAATAATGTGGAAAAGATGGCTTGATAATAAATCTAAGAAGTCCATGGCACTCCCATTGGAAAATATACTTCACACAATGGATTTAGCAAGGACCCAGTGCCAGAATTAAATGTTCACTTACTACATGTAAATTAAAATGAGAATGTTTTAAGTGCAACCTATTTTATCAGCAGAATCTCAGTAGATGTAAAAAAAGAAAGAAGACTTTTTGATTTGGTGATGGAATTAACCCCCCAAAATTCTTTGTCATGTGCTCAGCCTCTGTTTGGGATAATTGGATCATGAAGTATGATTGTTTAATTAATTTAGTACTTTACTTTTCACTAACTTTTAAAAGCCTTATTGCAGAAAACAATCTTTGAACAAAAATCTAAAATCTGTGCCTCATCAGTGGACCAAAGTTTCCAAGTAACGTTATTTAAGGTGTTCTTCAAGCTTCATTTAAACGAAAAGTAATGAATTAAAATCAAATTTATCAAATGCCAGCGTAGAATATTGTAAATTTTTAAGTATTTGTTACCTTATTATTTTTTTTTCTCAAGAAAACTAGAGGCATGTAAAACAGCATGAAGTTCAAAAACTATAAGTGCCAATAATTCATGTCTTTATTTTACCGCTGTCTTCATGTACATGTGTGGTTTTTGTTTCGTTATTTAACTTTCCCTTCGTGAAAAAATGTTCTAAAGTTGCTCTTCCATTGGTGTCTTTGTGTTATATTTTACAAAATATGTGACTGCCTTTCAGAAAATGTCATTTTACTGTGAATTGCCTTAAATTCGAACCAACCACACAACTATACCAAATGTAATAACATGGATGTGCCTTGATACAAATGTAACTCATTTGGCAATGGATCACAAATCTTCAACACCTTTGCCTTAGCAGTTCGCACATTTGTTTTCCTTCAATTGTCTACTTTCTTCGTACTTTCGATGATTGAAATACGTACTTTCAACCACACGTACTTTCAGCCTTGTAATGCTCGTGTTAGTCTCGTGGATTCTGGCTAACCAAGTCCAGCTCATCACAAAAAAATATACTTAATGCATTTGGTGAGATCAAGCAAGAGGACTTGCTTATTATTTTGTATCTTTTTCAGGAGTATATGGACCACTTTCATTAAGCTGCTTGGCAGTAAACAGTACTTGTGGAATAAACACGTACCAGTAAATGTACATGTACACTGTACATGCAAGTTAGTGAAATGAAAATCTTTAGTGAACAAATCACATGCTGAAAAAAAACCACTTAAACTTTGGCCGGTAACCTTGTGGTTTAATAGCAAAGTCTATAAAATACATGTAGTAGCTTAAGGTCAGCTAGTATTGGAAATTCTAAGTACACTTCTGATATCAATGGCCCATGTAATTGTAGTCTTGATAACTGTTATTGCAACTGTACACAAATCATGTTCAAAAGCTCATGCAGTTTTTCCATGAGCAAAACTTTGTTTTACACGAGTGGCCATATTTGTGACCTTTTATTTTGTTGGAAATGTAAGATTACTTCTTTGTGTCCAAACTTGTCTTCAATATTAAAGTTTAGGTTTAAGGTCAGCCAGTATTGGAAGTTTTAAGTACACTTCTGATATCAATGGCCCATATACATACATAAACCTCATGCAGTTTTCCCATGAGCACAATTGGACTTTGTTTTACACGAGTGGCCATATTTGTGACCTGTTATTTTGTGGGAAATGTAAGATTTTGTGTGTGTCCAAACTTGTCTTCAGTAAGTTTAAGTTCACATAAACATTGCCATGTGATGTGGGTCCAGCTACATTACCAGAGGTTTTAGTTAAAAATTGGGAGGGGGATTTTAAATGATTCATAACAGGGATGCAAACACCAAACTTGCCTTGGGAATTCTGCCAACCAATTAGGCTGCAAGTCAGGTACAAAATAAGCAAGCATGTGACATCAGAGTGGGATGTTATACATGTTTAACTTAAGGCTATTAATTGTAAATGATTGATGCAATGTCAGAGTTGAGAGTTAAACCTTGATTGAATACGCTTTCAATTTCATATTTTTGTTTCTTTTGGTTGAAGGTGAATTAATTAAAGTGGTGACAGTTAAAATGTACATGTTCATTAAATACATAAAAAAGACATCTGTATATAATGCATATTTTTAATAAAAGAAAACTTACTATAAAAAAAAATGGTGTCACGTATTTTGATGATGTACACGTACACTTTTTTTTGGATCAATATGGATTGACAACACTCCACCTGATCTGCGTGCGAAGAATTTCTTTAGGATATGGATTTTCAATGCATCAGATTTGCAGAAAACATCCATATGACAGCTGTGATGATAGGCTCCAAACCAAATACTAACCTTTTTTTGTTGAAGTCTGTTTAATTAAGTGACAAACATATGCTGGATTGCATTTCAAAAATCAATAATGGCGGTATGACAATCATGCATGGCAGATGCGGTGCAATGTCCGTACCGGCCGGAAATGTCTGCTGAAAATAATCAGTCTTTCATTCTTTTAATGGATTTGGATTTTTCTCCCTGAAAATGGGGAAATGAACACAATAAAAATCAATAAAATTTAAAAAAAATATAAAAAAAAATAGAATAGCATTTCAATTTCTGCTATTTACACGTATACTACATATGATACAAGACAACATATGCCAAATGTTGAAAATCATAAAATCCAAAAAACTGCAATATCTGTTGTGCTGCTACTACTTTTTGTCAGTCATATTACCCCAAAATATATTATGTTTTGGACAGAACTGTAACATTTTAAAGAATTTAAATACTCTCTGGATTTTTTTTTTCATCAACACAGTTGGTTTTCCCCAAATGTCTAGTCTAATGTCTAGAAACTAACGCACCTTTCATCACAAAACTTTCATTTTAAAACAAGGGAAAAATGAAAACCAGAAGAACAGAGATTTGATTTTGTCGGGATTGTGTTTTGTATCGTGTGTGTTGTTTTTGGCTTTAGCAACACACATACACGTATGGTTCCGGTATACGTGTATTTCCCTGTGCAGGTCCACAGTTTAGATATCCTTCCCCATATCGCACATCCTTTTCCTAAAAGGAAGTCTTTTACATGTGGAGTTGTCATTAATGGAAGACCTTTGGCCGGACCTTCATCTGTGACCCTGGTTTCTCATGACAATCGCTGCCGATATAAATGCATTTCTAGAGTCTCCCAGGGTACTCTTTGTAATTCTCATTTATTACCCCCCCCCCCCATGCAAACATACATTGTACATTCTGCGCCAAGTAGTCTCTGCCAGCGCCATGTATCATGTGCTAGGGGACCAACTAGACTGTACGTAGCACGTACAGACGAACTTTAAGAGGTTGTGGAATGCTCGAAGACATTTCAGTCATTTTTCGGGTACATGTAGCCTAAGGTGTGATGAAATATAAACGACTATTGTGTCTGTCATGAAATGAGTACAAAAGGTACTTTTGAGAGCTGTTTTTCAGGTTCTGTTTCTACTCGAACGTGCAATAAACAGGACTCGTTTATACTACGCTGCATCGGGAGTCCTGTTTATTACGTCACGATTTACTGTGTTTTGTTTCCTACCCCCAACGACGACTTTTACACAAATTGCACGTTCGGGTCGAAACAGGACTTGAAAAACAGCTCTCAAAAGTACCTTGTGTACCCATTTCATGACAGACACAATAGTTGTTTTTATTTCATCACACCTTAGGCTACTTATACCCGAAAAATGACGGAAATGTCTTCGAGCATTCCACAACCTCTTTAATTCAAATCCACTCCTGGGCCAAAATTAATGCACACCCCCAGTCCATGAAATACATTTCCACACTGCATTACAAGTTTTACTTTGTGCAAATATCCATTCCTCAAAATTGTATAAAATAAGAGACATATTTTGAGGGTTTATAGATTTTTTAAGTGCACTTTTTTCCACTATTGACAATGTCCACATAGTTTCCTGCCAACTGAGGGCGCTGTTGTCAGTAGTAACACCTTTAAGAATTATAATCTTACAGTTTAGGGATTTTCTGTACAGACTGTGGCTGAAATATACTGAAAAAGACAGACAGACAAACAAACAAACAAATCCAATTTCTTTGTTGTGATGTGCTTTATCAACAAAGAAACACCAAAACAGAAAGATTGCCAAAACCTAACAACCCAAATTTGGTTCAGTTATTTGAAGACCAAAATTAAACGTATAAATGGGACATGAAATTGCATTTTGGAGATTCTTTTCGAATGTTACACAATTCAATTACATCTTTTGACAACCATTATCTCAAAATAGTAAGAAAACCAAAATTAAAAACTGGCACTTAAAAAAAAAAAAATCACAAAAATATGACACATATGGAAAAAACTTTGAAAATGAAATGAAAAAAAAACGAATGAGGGAAAAAAAACCCAAAAAGAAAAACCAGCCATGGAAAATACTACATTTTCGCCATAACCGAATGCAATCGTACCTCACCAGTTTTCCTCTCATATCTTAAGTCAGAAAATTAATATTTCGCACAGTGTTTAGCCACGAACCATTCTTTTGTTAGCTCAGAGCAGAATTTTATTATACCCACGCAAAGTCAAAAAAGCCATAAAACATTTATTTTTAGATAAAGCATAATATGTTCCATAAACTCCAAGGACGTTGGAGGCTCCGTCAAACTCCACATTGAAGTCTATCGATACTGATTCTATTTTTGATATACTCTCTAAATTCCAAAGAGTGAAATATACATTTAACTTCACAATACATTTAACTTCACAATTTTTTCTTTAAGAACTTGGCTCCCAAGTTGTTGCGGTAAGACTTTTTGCCCAATATAGGGCAGTGGGATTATTATACAGCGTGTGTCAATAAAAACGCAGGATTAGAAACAAAAATATTTAGAATATAAACCACCCCTATTCATCATAATGTTAACCCTCTTTTCAAAGTACCTTTCCTTCTCTTCACTATGCTTTTTATCCCATCTCATTTTGACAATCCTGTCCACAGATAGAGTACATTGAAGAAGGGTTATAAATTCCAAGCTGGTCTGATTTGTGAAATCACACATACCTAATGAAAGGTTTGAATTCAGTACAGGTGAAAGTATTTGTGGATCACAAAGAAGGACATGTGTGGCAGGATTAGGCTTACATAATCCTTTAGTCCACAATCAATGTTATTAGTCAATAATTGCCCAAGTGACCCCAACAATGATAGTCCAGTTATTAAATTTAAGTGATACTTATCATCAGTTGTTTCAAAGAAAGTTTTGTTCTGGTTTAATTGTCTTCAATGCATACCTGCATTGTACATAACTGGTCGTTGTGTTAAGGTCATTGAATCAGACCAACCCGCTTCAGAAGGGCTTCACAAAACTTGTCATAACTTTTGAACCAAAAGTCCAAATTCCACCAAACAAAAATCTTGTCAAAGATAAAATTATGGACAATCAAATCCTTATCAAATTAGGCACACCAGTAGCATAATTTTCTCAGAAAAAAAATCGCTTTGAATCCTGCGTTTTTATTGACACACGCTGTAATAAATGTGAGGCATTCTGGCAAAATGAGACAGAACTGGGCGAATGGGGGTGATTTTTGTTTGATTTTCACATTCATTGACATTTGTAGCCTTTGTGATGTCTATTACACACACACAGTTTAAAGAAATAGTATAAAAATTTTGGAATAAAATCATTTATAAGGAAAAACAACTGGTATCTTTCAGTTTCATGACTACAAAACTAAAACTTTAAAGGCCTTTTTTCTCAGTATTTTACTTTTTTGACATGTCGACAAATGCGAAATTTAAACCGCCATAAATTGTCAACTGAATGTCTGATTGGAGTTCACGAAAGAGTATTGTAAGGAGCATTTTATTCTCTTTCCAAATACCCACAAACTCTCAGTTTGACCTCTGCCCAATTCTGTTTCATTCTACCAGAACACCCCACAAATATTACTTTTGATTTTAGTCAGGAATTGTTGGGAAGCAACATTAGGTGAATGAAAAATGGTGAATAAAAGAATGGTTGAAGAAAACATAATGCCGAAAAAAAATCAAAGTTTAACTTTTTTGGGGTGTCAGTGTAACACCCGTACTGTCAGATGGTAAATAAAATGTCAGACTTACCTCTGAATTCAAACACGATTCTCGTCAGAGCTTGCACTGTTGCACTGACCATGTGCGGGGAACCAGCCAAACCAGCCGTCAGCATCTCAATGTACTGGCGCACACAAACTGAAAAGTTTTGCAAGAAAAAGTGTCTACACAGAGGCAACAGCAAAACTTACATGTAATTGCCAAAGTAGTATGGCTCTGCCTTAAAGCTATAGTCCATCATTTGCAGCCATCCGAAAAGTAACTGTCGTAATTATTGTTGAAAAACAAACTTGGTTGAAAGATAGTATTAAGGGAACTAAACTCCCTGTGAAATTATTCTTTCAGGCAAGCTGTCATTTTGAAGTAATCAACGAAAGCAGGCCTTTCCAACGGTGTGTCTTAAGACGCACCGTAGGAAAATTTAAATTAATAGTTCGTTTTGTTATTCGGCGAAGCGCGCGCAAGCATTGGCACGACGCACACGCGCGGTTGCTATAATTCGTCGGATCAGTGCGCGACGCCGCGTATAGCTACAATTCAAAACAATTCAAAACATGATTCAGTAAGTTTTGATTTGAAATTGAGATCCTAGAATGCTGTTTTTCTCGGAATATACAGCTGAAGCTTAGCTGAAACTTCATCAGGTTAGTTGTTCAGTATCCTTCATTAGAGTTTGAACACTTTTGTTGCTTCAAACGAACAAAATGCACAAATTACAAATGATGGACTATATCTTTAATACTATAAGCGAAGATATTGTTTTAGTAGTAAGCCGAGTTCTACAAGAGTTCTGCATGTGTAGGACATGTCAGGTTGGCGTAGCGGTACTTTCCTCGCCTTCCACCGCTGTGACCCGGGTTCAAATCCCGCCTGGGTCAATATGTGGATTGGGTTTTCAGTCCCTACCCGATTCCGTGGGTTTTCCCCAGAATATGTTCTGGGCTTTTCCTCCCACCTCTAAAACTGTAATTTCATCTCACTGTCTTCTCTCTAAGTTGGTGTGATGTTTTCCCCGGGACGCTTTACGGACTATAATGATACAGATACAGATAGAGATACAGACATGTTCACATGAAGAAAACATGCTTGGATCATGATGGATACATGCACTTAGACATGGGCAACTAGTGAATATAAATAGTCGCGATAAAAATATGCGACTGGTCGACTAGTTGTGACTAGTAACACATTATTTATTTATCCAGTCATACCTATGGCCAACTTATAAATTCAAATGTATGTGCGCATGCCCATAAATGGGCCTGGCGGCAAGAAGCGAAAGTGGTCCATTGAAAGTGTACGGAGTTACAAACATGTTGGGTCATTTTCTCTCAATTTCTACAGGATCTGTCGTTTTTTTTCTCTAAAACTTCGAAGACTGCTTCCATACAGGTAGGCCTATGTCTTTGTGTGTCTAACCACATTGCTCGCTACACGTGCACCATTATTACATGTACAACGGGGCATGCAGCATGTTGGTGCAGTCACATTGTGTGACTGTCAGCACGTGCTGCATTACACAAGCACTATTCATGGACTGTGTCGTCGCTACAGACTTACAGCGCAGCGCGGTACGACTACTAGTCACGGGGCAAAGATCGGTAGTCGCGGCGCAACCGCTAGTCGCAGCATAGCATAATGATAAGGCGCGGCATAACGACTAGTTGACTGTTTAGAAACTGATGGTCATGACTACCAATGCTGTTTAGCATTGGTGACTAGTTGCACTAGTCGTACACGCCTACATGCACTCAGGAGGTTGCAAATATTCAACAGATGCAGATGCTTAACTGCAGTTCCTGTACAATAGCACCATTACCCATGGATCGAGTGATTGGTCTTTGTTAGCCCAAAAAGCCAGCTTTATTGGCGATTGTGAAGTGTAGGGCCCCTGTTTTGTTTTGATCAAATTAGAGTCGAAAGTGTTTTTTATTGCTCAAAAATCACCTTTACAATCAAAAGCAGACTTTTCTCAATTCTAATGACACCCGTTTTGCAATTTTGAACAGATTCTTGGTGTAGAAATCACGATTTTCCTGCGCGGTTTGTGCCTTGCGATTCAGCGCGCCGTGCGTGCTCACGGTACATCGCGCAGTGATCGCCATCTTTATTTTCGGGTCACGTGTTGTCGCCGCGCTGTCATCGTCATTTTACCCCCAAATTTCCCTCAAAAAAATCAAAACCCTGCCCTCTATCTATGACATACCTGTTTATTGAGAATGTCGTCAACTAGTTTGGTAGGTCCAATAATTTTAAAGTGGATTTTGTTCCTTTATAGGAACCGGGCCCTACACTACGCGATCGCCGCTTTATTAAATATGATCAAGTTTTAACACACCTTCTTTAGTCTCCTCACCATCAGACCATCTGACCATGGCGTGACCCAGGTCAACCAGCAGGTCAAAGGCCACGAGCCTCGTCTTGGAGTTGACCTCCTTGGTGCAGAGAATGACCTCTGGGATGATGGTCTCTAGGAAGTCCTCATTTTTAGAAGGCAGGGCACGGATAACGTGGATGAGACATCTTAAACGCGGCTAATAGGGAAATCAAATCCAATAATTACTTAGGAGGATAAATTTAAGGTTGTTTCATACTTCTAGAGAATGCCTACCATATGCACAAGGCAAATTCAACATCATAAAACACTTGTAGTGAAATACACCAGGGTTGATATGAGTTCAATGCAGAACTTTTTGATGTCACTTTTTTTTATGTCACTTTTGGGCCAAGTGTAAAAAGGCTGTTGTGTTTTAAGGGAATATACAACATTTGCAGACATCAAAAGCAAAACTTCCAAATAATCTCGAAATACCCTACTGGACTGTTAGTGAATAACAGTCTTAAGCATCCTGTAAAATCGTGGCACCTGGTGTGCTGACATTTTCAGGAAAAGTGGTATTTTTGCATCAATTTCCCATGCTGGTCTTTTTCAAATACTGCTCCCACTTTATCATATGTAATTAGTCGGCATTTTCTTTGCAATCGATTACACACCTGTGAACGGGTACAAGCCAGCTAGACTGATTCCCTAACCTTACAATTCCTCAACGTCTATAAATTGCTCCGTTTCATCTTAAGTGGGGTCAGGGAACCAGACTACCAAAACATGATTGTTTTTCTTGTTTTTTTCAGCATCTACAAACCCAAAACGTCAAAAAAGTCAGTGCAACAATATTCACTATATTCCCAAATCCATCAATTTCTGAAAATTACAGCAAAAGCAAATGTTGCATATTTCCTTTAACAATAACTATGTTAACAAAAAAGGGAAATGTAAAGCAAAATTACTTTTTGAAACAGACAATAGTTGCATCTTTCAATAAAGATAGAGTGAGGCTTTGGTGTAGATTCCGTAATACACAAGAGCATGAGCTGGGCGTCTGCATTTGAAAATTCCTTGCATTCATTTATTTCATTATTATCACACTGTTGAAGTTGAGGCACTTGTGATTCATCACAAGTCATCACAAGTCCATCACAAGTGAATCACAAGTCATTTAGTCCGAGGTCAGGTCACAAACTATTCATGTGGCTAAGGCATTCCTGTCTTATAGTTCATTCCCTGTTAACCCCTTGCCGCCGGGTTTTTACGCCTCACTGCACAGGCTTACACGTATCACTGCACAGAGCCTCTGCGCAGCAGCGGCACTGCACTGCCGGTCATTTGCCTAGCAGCTGCCCACAGACGAAAAGAAAGGACTTGTGATGGACTTGTATGTTATCCATCACAGCTTCAAAAGCGCCTCAACTTACTATACTGACAAAAAATTAAATTAAGTTAATCCTAAGTTTTTGTCCTACCCCCTTGGACGATGGGCCTGAGCTTGACAGAGAAGTGACTAGTGTCTCCTGCAGCTGCTGTAGGTGAGATGCAACAAACTGGCGTCCGGCCTCTGTGGAACCATCACATAAATTCTCCAGGACTCGATAGGCCTTCTTCTGCACTGTGTGATCGGTGCTCTGGCATAAACAAATCAATCACACACAGAATTTACTTGCCGTAGGAAGGGTGTGTGTGCTGTTTAATTTGGTCTTAAATAGACTAAAGATTACTTAATCATACTTAAAGGTAGAGTATTTGTCATTTGTGCATTTTTTTCCCGGTTGAAGCAACAAACGTGCTCAAAATGTAAAGACGGGTGCTTAACAACTAACCTGATGAAGTTTTAGCTTTGTGAATGCTGTATATTCAGAGTAAACAACATTCTGGGATCTCGGTTTCAATTCAAAAGTTGCTGAGTCATGTTTTGAATTGCGCCCGAAATCAGCGTCCGGGACAGGTTCTCATTCAGCCGATTGCAGCTACTTGAAGTCACGCACTGGACTGACGACTAATAACAACCGCAGGTGCGTGTGCATTGTGTCAACGCTTGCGCGCACCCATTCATGGATTCGCCGAATTACAAACCAACTTTTAACTGAAATTTCCAACAATACATGTACGTCACTTGATGCATCATTGGAAATGCCCTTTTTCTTATTGTTTTCTCAAAACTGACAGCATGCCAGAAAGAATAATTTCACAGGGAGTTTAGTGCCATTACTATCTTTAAACCAAGTAAGCTTTTTCAAAAATAATTTCGTTGGTTACTTTTTGGACAGCTGCAAATGATCTACTCTACCTTTAAATGTTTAAAGGGAATATACAACATTTGCAAACATTGGAAAACAAAACTACCAAATGTTTACGAAATACCTTAATAGGATGTTGGCAAATGAAAGTCTAAAGCATCCTGTAAAATTGTGGCACCTGGTGTGAAATCATTTTCAAGAAAATGTATTTTTGTATACATTTCCAACGGTGGTCGGCCGACCTCCGTTGGAAAAACCTGACTATTTTTCAACTACTGCTCCGAATTTACACTTTTTTCAGTCCAAATTTTGTTTGCTATTGGTTACATGTTCATTAACAGGTGCAGGCAAGCTAGACTGGTTTCCTTACCTTACAATTTTCGGGCATCAATAAATTGATTCATTTCATCTTTAGTGGAGTCAGGGAACCAGACTACTTAAACATTTTTGTTTTTCTTGGTTTTTCCAGCAATTTCGAACACAAAACTTCAAACTTGTCAGTGTAACAGTATTTGATCTATTATACTAACCCCTCAAATAGTTCATTTCTGAAAATTACAGCAAAAGCCAATGATGTACATTCCCTTTAATATCCATTTCATGAACTTTGGTGCTGCATTGGTTCTGCCTATGATTGCATTCACCTAGAAATCAAAGTGTCTTTCATACCTTGAGAAGCTGCGATACAATGTCAAAGAGCTTGGTCATGTGATCCATGTCCAGGTGCGGGGTGAGAGCAATGGTCAGATCCATCAGGGGATGCTGGTCCGTTGCCTCGCCAACAAGCTTAATGGCCAGTTTGTCGAAGAGGCCGATAACAAGCTGAAGATACACAAACCAACATTTTTATCAGGAAATGCATACAAGTTGATAGCTGTGATATTGAGACCAAACATAACTATAGTGTGTCAGTCAATGTGTTTACTGATGTTGACAATGAAAATTCAGTTGTGACTTTTGGCTTTTGGTAACAAATTTGCTTCTAACTAAAATTTGAGATGGAGTATAAACTGGTCTTAAGGGGGGATTTGTGCGTAGGGCCCACGAGCATTATATTCAATGTGTGGACAACTTGAAGTGGGACTATTTTTCAAATTATATGCCACCTGTAAATAAGCCATTACTGAACCCAACGTGGCCAAGTTTCCCTATCAGGATAAAAATAATCAAAAAGGACGATAAATGCCTCGTCACTCATAAATACAACAAACATCTTTATTACTGTGGCATTTGGTTATTTTCAACCATGTGGACTTAATCATCCCTTATTAGTAAATGCGTAAGCAATGAAAAATACACATTCAGAGAAAATGTTGAGATGTTTAAAGATACTGCCGATCTCCTTAATCACGGTTATGACTGATGAGTGATTAACACTCAGTGAATTGTACCTTCGGATCTGCAATTTTCAAGTAGACTTTTGCCGTCTCAAGAATGGTGGCGAGGGACGGGTCCTCACGGGCGTTGCCGCTGGTGTAGAGATTGAAGAAGACGGGCAGGAAGTTCTTGGCAAAGCGAGCCAACTCCGCACGATTCTCCTCTGGGTTTGGAAAAAAAGAAAAAAAGAAGGCTTTTATTGACAGTGCATCTTACGTTTCATTTTAAGTAGTTTGTAAACATGGATGAAAGCGGCAAGGACAGGACCAATTGGCACCAGTTTGGGGAGGCCTCCGCCTTGCAGTGGGCAGATAACGGCTGAGAATGATGATAATGATGAAACATGCTTTATAGTGCATCAAAAGAATTCTTCGCTGACTTTGAATATTTTCAAAACATAAGCTTGTCTTTGCACAGATACAGTCAAGTTAATCAGGAAGGAATGCCTCTAATTCTAGCAAGAGGACCACTCTTATGGCTAGGCTTCACAGTGTTATCTTTAGTAATTGACTTTTTCCAACACTGCATTGTTAGTTAGATACGTTCTAAGTTCGCGGAAGAAACCTGGGCCCTATTTCACAGCGCTGCTTAACAGCCGATTTTGTGCTTACCGAGCCTCCATCTATTTTATAGAGACCGTAAGCTTAAGCACAGCAAAAGTATGCTTAGCCCCGTAGGAAAAGGTCGCTTAAACCAATGACGTAACAATGGAAATATCCATGCGCGCAACCGTTAGCATGTCAACACAATCAAATAGTACGTAAGCAGCAGCATGATTTTCTGCTATAGTAAGCACAATTTCTGTGCTAACTGTTAAACACTTGTAACCGGATGAATTTGTACTGGGGTTTGTGATCACACACTGTAACAGACCACTGTACTTTTTCTCTTGAAATTCACAGATTGTTGGTGATTCGAAAAGTGAGCGGGGTTGGGGAAGGGGGAGGGGGAGGGAGGAGGGGAAGGGGGAGGGGGAAGTGGGGCAACGCAGGGATTTTCAGCAAACAATATTTTGTGAGTGAGCTTCTATTGAAAAAAAATGGGCCACATAATGTACAAGGAAGTAAACAGTGCCACTAACCATTGTCCATGTTGCGTGTGATGAGATGTCGGATAGCCAAGCACACATCATACCGTAGGTCCGTTCTGTCGCTGATGGCCGAGCCCAGAATGCGGGCGATTCCCTTGAACCCTGGACACACGTCGACGGGGTCCTTACAAAACCCCGGTAGGAGGGACCAGATCTGGGACTGAAGGATGTCATAGGTCTTACTCTCCACCTTGCGTCCCTGCTGGCTGTACTCCAAAGCTAAATTGGGAGATTGAGTCGACGGTGTTCATACCATGTTTCAAGTCTTCAGTTTATTTCACTGCTAGAGTTGTAATTAACCTATCGCGGTACAATTGTCGACGCAGCTTGTGAAATTGTGTCCAATTACATGATATACATGTGGACGCGGAACGCGCGAAATCTGAGACAAACAAAACTTAACGTACAAAAATTCCATGGGGTTGTCTAAGGAGCGTGGCTAACTCGCAAACGGTGATAGGTCAATAGAGTACCGAAGTGAATACATCACGCGCATAATTATGTGTGTAAAAGACATTAGCGCGTGATTCAGCCCGTAAACCAACACACGCGCGCACTCCATTCGCTTGCACCACACTTCCCTGCTCTAAATGACGTCACACTTCTGTATTTTATTGAGTCAGTTGCAAGTCACCACAAATCATCACAATGTCAGTCAAAAGTCATTCCGTGTCAAGGAAATTCACAAGCCATTCAACTGAACTTTGACAAAGAAAATGCGATATTGTTCTTCCCTGGCTACCTGTGACTCTGTTCATCAATTGTCAATACACACACAAAAAAGGAACTGAATAGGGCTCGCCCAAAGACAGCCATTTCTGTAGGAGAACTGCAACTGCGTATTTTATGCAATCAAGCACGCATTGCACAGTGTGGAAAAATGTTCCAAACACGCGCGCTTGTTGCTTGAAATGTGTTTGAAATACAACGCAGCCGATGCGCGCTATGCAATTTGACGCTCAAAATACCGATGCACGTGGATGGTCTGTAGGAAATGACGTCATTTGAACGAGACCTATAGTATTGAAGGTTACAACAAGTTGAAATATAGTTGAATTATTAATAGTTAGTTTCATTACAAACTCACTAAATGAAAGGTTATAAGAAGGCATCATTAATTACCATCTTCATGGCTATCAACAAATTATAATGGACTATTTGGCGACAAACTGAGGAATTATGCACTCATAATTTCCAGAGTGACCAGTGGGGAGAAGTTGTTTTTAACTCTTACAGGATTTACAAAGTTTATCAGGACAGCCTGTACATAGAACAATTCAACGGCAGGCACATTAATTAATGAATGAGGATTATGAAACTTTGCATTTTGGCAATGATATTTTATCATATTTTTTTGCAAGTGTATTTCATTCACTATAATGCAAATGTAATACAAAAATTACAAGTACCCCCTTTTTTTCTCAATTAATGTATGCTTAAAAGGAAAGAATTTACATAAGGGTGAGAAACCAGATTCTTGATTTGACCAACCTTTTGTTTTCAGCTTAGCCGCCAGGGGAAGGAAATACTTAGTGAAGAATTGCAGCTCCGTGTTGCATACATTGTCACGGATGACGGGCAGCAGCCAGCTTCTAGGAAAGTCATAGTTATCCCTGAAAAAAGAAAAAAACAACAAAATGCTTTAGTGTACTTGTATTACATCCATTAACCCTAACTCCCCAGCCTAATTTACTAGGAACCATACCCATTCAGGCAAATTCCAACACCCACATGGGAAATTGTACACACACACACTGTTGGACTTAGTTTCTGGAGGTATGCCAACCCCAGTGTAAAAGACCATCAGTTTAGGGGTACTGTACCTATCCCAACAGATTTAAACAAAACCTGCTGTTGAACTTTGATGGGTTGAGTTCGGTTAGGGTTATTGACCTTATCTTTAAGATGAAACCACTTTGACATTCAACAACTTCTAACTTTTACATATGAGCCGCTTGATTTTGGATTCCCTTTTTTTTTTTAAATACACCCTGTAGATCATCTTTACGTTCCTTAGTTTTAGGAGGACATATGTCCCCATTTCAGTGGTTAACTCTTTCAGTGTCAAAGTCGTACATGTACGAGCTATATTTGTTAGTTCGAAATCGCCAACCTCGTACATGTAGGAGGTAATGTTCGTACTTAAAATTGCCAAACCTCGTACATGTACGAGGTAGAGTAAATATGTTATCACAAGGGGGCACTCTCGCTCTTTCTAATAATATCATTTTCATTCAGTTACGACCTGTATTTATTGTTTCTTGCGAGAGTTCTTGCGAGAGGGCGCAGCACTGACACTCGTATTTTCTGCAAAAAGTGCGGAATTCCCCTGTGTGCAGGACAGTGTTTCAGGGTGTATCACTATGTATGTGACTACTATTGATTTTCCAATATACCAAGGATATACCAGAGAGTAACAAAAACAAATTTAGTGAGTAAAACTTATTTAACAAAAACGCTCGAAGTTGGGCACTTTAGGGTTAAACTTTTCAAATTTCGCACGCACTGAAAGAGTTAATGTAAGACAAAAAATACTTGGAAGAAAGAACTGGCAAAATCAATTCTAATACAGGACAATATTTGAATGCGCACGTCTTTGTGGCACCAACATGGTAAAACAGTCAGAAAATGTCCAATCTCTGTCTGTAATTCTACTCTATGCCATGTGACAAATCTATACCAAACACTCAGCAGTAATAAAAATCACACTCCGCAACAGCAAATGACCAGAATTTCATATACTATTTTGTTAACGCCATTGTGTTCATTATACCGATGATATTCTGTAACCAGCAAATTAACACATATAAATAAACACTTACTCGTCCCCCGTAATCTGGAGTGGAACAGCCCCCAGAACAAACCTAGGCCCCATGGTGCGCACAGCCATGCCCACGGCACGGTCCAATTCTTGAACGTAGGGGAAATGATGGGTACTCCTCAGGTCACACATGGACTGCAGACATTTCTTCATGAAGTTGCGACCCTCTTTACCGATGACCTAGTGTTGAAAGATGAGAATTTTGTTAAGCAACTGGTTTTATACTGGATAATTTATCCTGAACTCCCCAGGCATTTTCGCTAGGATGTAACCTCAATCCTGCAAAATCCTCCAACTGCCTCCATGTAATATAGCATACAGCCGCAATCCTGCAAAATCCTCTGTTATTTCTTGATTGTGGTCCTTGGAGGGGTGACCACTGACTCAATCCTGCAAAATCTTCCATCAATCACTGTCAATATGTTGAGGCAGAGCCAGCGACATCCTTGAGCAATGCGGAGGATTTTAAGTATAATATAGACCTGAGCATAAACAACATAAGGTCCGGCCCAAGACCTTGACACAGTGCATCCTCCAAAATCAGCAACACACTTTTGCCATGTACATGTAGCCTCAATCCTGCAAAATCCTCCATTTTGCAAAGAGGATTTTGGAGGACTGGGGAAGGTTAGGGTTATCATATTTGTCCTTTTATCACCTCAAACCATCCTGCCTGTTACTCCCTGTACCACCCAAAACCATCCCAGTACTATACGGGTTTACAAGGAATAACTACAATATTATACAATGTATTAACAAGTGCTAATGGGTTGAAGAGCGCCACTTTCATCTTCAAACAAAATACAGCAAGACCACAAATTATCAGATATCTCTCCCCAACTTGCAGAATAACAGTGAAAAACCAACTATCAGCATGATCTAAGAGTTGAACTATGTTTTTAGAAATGTGGAAATCACCAAGTTCACTACATGCATGTCATCTTCTTATCTCATTTTCTGTTTTTTAAATTTGATTTCAACATTTCATTTGTGAACTTTTCTTACTCCGCTCAAATCTCATTCAAGATCAACTTCAACTTCTCATTCAAGATCAACTAGTGAACCAAATTTCCTAGGATTCTCCCCAGAAATGTTTAACTCAGTGCCAAAATATTCATTCTGCAAATCTGTGATACTTTGAAAAGTTCAACTCGACACACTCTCGTATGGTGACACAATTACTTCAAGTTTCATTTTGTTTGTACGTAAACCCTGAACCAATATTCACGCAGCAAAGCCGTGTTAGTTCCCTGAAAATTCATCATTCCATATTGCAAATCTTGATTGAGCGCTTCAGGCCATTGGCCTTTTTATGTATTGGCTGAAATACCTCATACAACCCCATACTCCCTCGTGACAAAATATTGATAGGCGATTTACAATTGATAGGCGATTTACCTCGAAGAAGGCACGTGTGACCTGAAGCACCAGTCCCCAGGAGGAGTGGTATTTGTAAGACAGTCCACCCTCGATGGTATGGAACATCTTGTGGATCGGGGTGGAAGAGTTGCCGGGGAGCTCGTTAGACAACCAATCACTGGCAGGCTTCACACACTCGTACAACAGGGTCTGATGAAGGAAACAAATGGGTTAGTCCGGTTCCCAGACCAAAAGTATCGGACTATTCAGACAAATCATGGGTCAGGTTGGCACCCGCTGTCACTTGATCACAATGGGCAGGTTTTCGAAAATATCTTAACCGAGGCAAGGCAGCAAGGCAAGACAATGTTACACAACACTAACACACGCATGTTTACGTTACATACCAAGTGTGGACATTCCATTGCTTTCGTGTAGTTCAGAAAAACCAGTGAAGAAAACTCATTTTTCTCAAACTGTGAAAACTCTTTAACCCAATTTTTTTTCTATGATTCCCTTTAGTGTTTCTCTTCATTCTGCCACGGATAAACCTAACCCCAAAATGCCTCTAAACCTGTTTTCCAGAAATGTAAGAAACACTTTGTGGACTTGCCCAAGTCCACACAACGTCTCCTCTACCTGGTTTATGTGGACCTCTTTTGTTCGGAAGTCCACACAGTGAATGTAATGCCTACCCACATTTCTACTAGAAATTGAATATTGCCACAAAAATACATGTTAGCAGCATTGTTCCGTCAAATAATGGAACTCTTTAGCCTTGTTATTTAATTTCACTTGCCACTTTTTTTTAATTAATGTTTTTTTTTTTTTTTAAACTGGAACGTCCCAAATACAACACTGCCAATTCCCAATGTGTGTACACGTGTTAACCTCACCTTCATGACTTGGGAAGCAGAGGCAGTGATTTCAGTCTTCTGTGACACAAAGCACGCCATGGCAGCACTGAAGAGACGAGGCAAATGACTGATGCACAGCTTCTGGCTCAGTCTGTATTGGGTATTCAGAAATCAAAAGGGGAGTCAGGTTGGCACAGTGGTTAGGCCTACTTTCCTCGCCTTCCACTACAATGGCCCAGGTTCGATTCCTGCCCGGACCACATGTGGATTGGGATATCAGTCCCTACCCGATTCTGTGGTTTTTCCCCCGAATATTCTTCTGGGTTTTTCCTCCCACCTCTAAAACTGTAATTTCTTCTCATTGTCTTCTCTCTACATGTTTCTTCAGGCTTTCGAGCTACAGTGCCTAGTGCGCTTTTGAGGAATCCTCGGTTTCATTGCCAGAAAGAAATAAAATAAATACAATAAAATTATCTATGTTTACACTTTTTAAGGACAAAAAAAGATTATATCCAGTTCTCAACAAGTGGCTTCTCATTTCTGACTTTGAAAATTCGCAAATACTCGGCCATGAAGCGTATCTTGTAACACTTGCTTTCATTCCATAAATATGCTTGTACAGAAAGAGCAACTAAATCAAAGCCCGACAATACACAACAGAGACCATTAAAGGACTATGTTATGCAATTTTTTAAAATGCAGTCCATGTAAATGCAACTTTCGGTCCCATTCAACCTTATTTTCAATTTTTCCATTTTTAAAGGTATTTTGATGCCCTTTTGGTTTTTATGCTAATGCAAATTTGCATATTCATGAACAACAGTGTGATGTCATTTCAGGCAGAAACCTCAATGTTACAGCCACTTCAGCACCAAAATTTGCCAGAATTTTTGATATTTTGCTGTCGTAAATTTTCTTTTCTTTGGTGATTCGTTGTTTCAGTACATGACAGTAAGCCAATGAGCAAAGTTTTCTCAAAAATGTTTTCAATTAGCAAATTTTTGGGTTCACAATTTGAACAGAAAACCCCTAAAGTGAACAGTGTCTTCCTGAAATGACATCACAGCAACAGGGCCCTCAGTTGTCTGGAAAAGCATGGACAATTTTAAGTGTTTAAAGAGGTGCACTTTTCAATAATTTTCACCGAAAAGGGATGTCAAATAGTTTTCATACATTTAAGAGGAGAAGAAAGTTGCACAAAATGTGTTTCTCAGAAAAATTCATGTCGTAAGCCCTTTAAGTCTATCCTAAATGTGATAAAATATCTTGCTCATGGACATCGGGCCTGCCTATACCTGGCTAGGTTGGTGTGAGCGGCTTCCATGACGGCCAGCCAGGCCTGGGTAGGCTGGACGTCATTCTCCCCTGGCTGGTAGTCGTACAGAGCGTTGATCAGCTGAGCGTTGAGGTCGGCAGGAAGATTAGAAGCCTTGGGCTTGGCTGTAAACATCCCATGCAGGGCCTGCATGCAAACTGAGGTCATCAGCTGGGGGAAAGGAAACCAAAAATAAACGTAAGCAGGAGATCATGGGCTCGAGTACCACCAAAGTAAGCGTGTGGATTATTTTTTTATCTCTCAAGTTATCAGGCAGCATTAAGTTAACATTACTTTTCAGGTTAAATTGGCAAAGACTTATATTTAAGTGAACAAAGTGTTTCTATGTCATATGAAAGATAATCAGCAGTTTTGTTAGTAACAAAATCACCACAATTACTGCCTGAAAATTAAAAATCAAGGGCAAGGGGTAAATTGCATAAAAATGCATAAAAATTTGCAAACTACAGAAAATATTTGCTTGCAAAAACATGTAAAAATTTTTTTGTTATCCAAACAAAAATGAAACATACCACATTGCTTAATGTCATGAGTCTCAGGATAGTCTCACATGCTGATTTCAAGCTGTTCTGAGACAAGCATGACATGATGTCCTTCAGAAGACCCAAGACATGCATCGTTGTGGCCACCTCCCCAGCTCCTGAGGAAAAACAAAATACATATAAAACCAACTTTGTTATAAAGAAGGGAATAAATGTGCGCTTGGTCGGTATTAAACACTATGTTTAAGACCAGTTTGAGTCTGGATGCTGATAATTACCCAAGCCGAAGGTGAAGGTAATTATCAGCATCCAGACTCCAACCGGTCTTAAACCTAGTGTTTAATACCGACCAAGTAAATAATTATTCCCATTCATAAATACCTTTTCGATCAAAAATCATCAAAATTTTCGGTCAAAAAGTCAAAATAGGTCAAAAATTTTAAATATTCAACGATTTCAATCAACAAAACACAGCTATACAATGGTAAGGCCCTTTGGTAAACAACTCCTTATATGGAGATTGATGCGCACGTCGCGCGTACTGCTTGATGTGGTGCAAAAAGCAGATGTACCGGTGTAGTATGAATTTAGGACTATGAAATACTGACTCACTGGTAGTATTGCGTATGCCTACGTGAGGATTGTGAACGTTCAACCAATAAAACGGTGCTGGCACCGGATTTCATAGGAGTCAAAATTTCATGCGACTCTGGAAAAGTGTTTAAGACCAGCAAGCCATGTCTTTATCATCCATTTAACCCTTACCCTACTAGACCCTCCAACGCATGCCAATATGTGCCTCAAGAAAATCTCCTATTTTTTTTGCATGGCCCTCCAATATCTGCCATGTCATTTCAAGGGTAACTGGACAGGCACTCCAATACATGCCACAGAGAACAATGAGAGTCCTCTGATAACAATCAAGTGCCCCCAGCTGGTCAGTATCAGGCACCCTCCAGGGCCTCCAACTCCTGCCAATTGGAGCCTTCACTGCTACATCTAAGTATCCTCCAATAAACTGCAGCTGGAGGGCATTGGCATAACCAACTGACATGCAGTAAACTACCCTCAGAGAGTAAGGGTTAAGACCGGCCATGTGATGGTCTCTCGACCAATGGGAATGGGTAAACTGTCTTAGGTATTTATGAATTTAAAATTAATGATTGGCCACAATAACAAGTCTACCCAAAAACAAAATTCAAAACAAAGAAATTCATTTGAGTGGGGTTTGAACCTACAACCTCCGGCTTACCCTTCCTGCACTCTACCAACTGAGCAATCCAGCTCTCTGTTGGCCATTCTCCATTTTGTCAATGTCTTTATTCAAGGGGTGCTAGGCGGAACGATAAACCCTTTTTATGCCATGTGACCAGGTTCACGAAGAACTATCTTACCCCCGCTTGACTCTACTTGCTGTATGCAGAACTTGGCCGTGGGGCCAGCGGCTGGGTGGCAGGGTGGGGAGTCCTGGACAATCATGAAACTACTGCCTTTCAGAATGGCGCCAACTGCATGCTGGGCTGCCTTCCGAATCTAACACGAAAATGTTTAAAAAAGGAGCTTACGACAGAGTGCAATTTGGAAGTTCAGCACTTATGATCTCCCTAAGATTGATTAAGTAAAGCATAATCTCTCTAAGAGTGATAATGTAAGCAATGTACCTGCCAAAGAAAGTTTGAAGTCAATTTTAAAGGGAATGTATCATTGGCTTTTGCTGTAATTTTCAGAAATGAACTATTTGAGGGGTTAGTGTAATAGATCAAATATTGTTACACTGACATGTTTGAAGTTTTGTGTTCGAAAATGCTGGAAAAACTAAGAAAAACAAAAATGTTCAAGTAGTCTGGTTCCTTGACTCCACTAAAGATAAAATGGATCAGTTTATAAATGCCGGAAAATTGTAAGGTAAGGGAACCATGCAGTCTAGCTGGCCTGCACCCGTTCATGAACATGTAACCAATAGCAAACAAAATTTGGACTGAAAAAAGTGTAAAGTTGGAGCAGTAGTTGAAAAATAGTTAGGTTTTTCCAACGGTGGTCGGCCGACCACCGTTGGAAATGTATACAAAAATACAATTTTCTTGAAAATGACTTTACACCAGGTGCCATAATTTTACAGGATGCTTTAGACTGTCATTTACCAACATCCTAGTAAGGTATTTCGTAAAAAGTTGGTAGTTTTATTTTTCGATGTTTGCAAATGTTGTATATTCCCTTTAATGATATATGCATGGCAAATTACACAGGCCAGGTCTAACAGAAGCAAGAATGGAGCCCAAATTTAAAGAATGGCCCACATGACTACAAGTTTGAGAAGATGCATATTGACAATGTGCTGAGAACTTGGAATTGAATATGTGTAGGCCAAGGAGAATGCTTTATCTACCCCAACTACTTATGTCTGCAATTTTTTCCAGGAAAAATTGTTTAATAAAACTGTTCTTAGAATGTACAGTGGCATACTGGACATTTTGCTATAATAATAACAATTATAATTTGGGAGGCTAATCATCGTTACTCGCAGCTGAGAAGCTGAATTGCGAAGAACGCTGCTACAACGTGTCGAGCCGCTGGCATGTAAGACGCCTTTGGCAGCCAGCCATATGACCCATGACCACGGAGCACAGTCTGAGATCGAAAGTGTTTGATTTTTCCTGGAGGGAGGAAAACCGGAGGGCCCAGAGAAAAACCCTCGTGGCACAGGAGAGAACCAACACACAACCCTACTCACATATCATCACCGGTACCACGAAGTGACCTTAACCCCCGCGAAGTGGAAAATGTGTGTTTCGAGATACAAGCGATTTAAGTTGACGATGTTTTCAAACGGTGATCTGAACATCATTTTAGCCTCAAAATTCATATTTTTTTACATTGTCTGAAAGCTGGGATCTTGAATGTTACGTTAACATATGATTTTTTTTGAAAACAAATAATATTAATGAGTTATCAAACTAATTAACCATAAGGTCACTTTGTGAAAACTCAAAATTCAGATTACGCTGTGTTCGAGTTTTTATAAAGTGATGCTAACCATGTGTATATTAGCCAATGGGTTAGCGCTACTTCGTGAAAACGCCAGAAGTGGGTCGCGCGTATCACGCGACATTTGTGTTACTTCGTGAAAACGCAAAACCCGTTTTTCACGCGTAGTGTGCAGGCACTTTACACGCTAAAGAATGGTATAGTACACTTCGTGAAAATGCATTTTCCGGTTTTGACCCATTAAGTTGCAAATGTTCATTAATGTTAATTAATGTTTTGACAAAACTAATTAACTATGTGTTTAGTAACTTCTTGTGGTGATAGATTATGTGTAGTTAATTACAAATCACTAAAAAAAAATCGAAATCGCAAAATATCGATTTTTCGATGTTAGTGTCACTTCGTGGTGATGGTGATGATATGGCATGTATGGTCCGCGGCCGGGATTCGAACCAGGGCCACAGTGGTGAGAGGCGAGTGCTTTACGCACAAGCCACCCATGCCATAATGAGCAATCCATTGCCATAATGACACATATTTGCATTCGTGTTCACATTCAAGAGCTGCCAACATTCGCATCGTGCAAACAGGGAGATTTTGTACAACAATCAGAGAGATATTTAGAATTACATTGAACATAATAGGGAAAAGGTTTCCATAATCAGGGAGATTTTCAAATTTGTTCATCAGAACATGGAAAGATTGGTTTATTTTCAGTGAACTTTCTGCAGAATCAGTGAGAGTTGGTAGCTCATTCATTCGTTAGAGCATGAATCGGCCTTCAGACTCAAGATTAGCTCAAAGGTTTTTTCGACAGTATCGTTGACCTACCTTAGGCTTTTGATGGATCGTGTAACTGAGTATCCCATGATACACCTGCAGGGTGGAGGGCTCACTCCACATGCTGTAATCCTGCTGTCGCAGCGTCGTGCTCAGACAGACCAGGCAAGACCGCAGCGAGGTGGTCCCTGACTGGTTGGCGTGGGAGGCCAGAATGTCCAGAAAGGATTTGCTGATGGCCGAGAACTTCACTCTCAGAACTGAGGTGGGTACTCTGAAATGGAGAGAAATTTATCAATGTGATTTTAGGCTAGGAGAGTACAACTTCATGAAAGTTTGCGGTTACACCATATGAAGTGTCTGGGCGGAGTGACCTGATGCCCCTGGGGCATCAACAAACCCAATTTTTTGAATAAAATTTTTTTTTAGGGCCAATAACGTTCACCTCCTATCTAATCCTCATTCAACCCTTGCCAAATCAGCTGGTTCAATGAACTTTGCAGCCAGGGCTACACCCAGGCCGTGTCAACAAACTTTCGATCAGGCCTCCTGCCAAGTCTCATTGAAACATCAACAAAGACCTGTAACTTGACACAGTCATCTCCCTTCATAACTGCATACCACAGCCGCCAGTCAATTATCTTTCCAGCGCACTGTCTAGCAACTGTCTGGACACTGTCTGGCACGTGGCTTTTTGTTGTATTGCTATGAATAGGGTCTTGCGTAGTGCGGGAAAGTACAGTTGACGAGTTGTTGTAAAGTATTTTTGTAAACGCTGCGCAGGGTTAACCCTATTGAGAGGTGGTTCTGAGATGAACTAGAGTTTTCACTTTGACATGGGGGTGTGCATTTACGGGTAGTATGGGAACAGGGTACCCGATTGAAAAAAAAAATGGGTACTCGGGTACCTATTAAAGAAACCCAACCCCAAAATTCAAATCTCGGAAGTTGCTGTCCAGATTGTTCATAAAGGTCCGTACGATAACTCTACACATCGGTGCATCAATACGGCAAGATACAAGTGTGAACAGTGAGCTTTATAGCCTTACAGGAAATTAAAGTTTACCTTTTGATAACGAGGCTGAGCAGGAAGAGAATAGCAGAGAGTGACTCCTCATTATCTACGTTGTCAAGAGCTGTCATCTGTAATAATAACCCAGACATTTTGAGAATGAATTGTTACATCAGGGAGCAACAAGAAAAGCAACTCAAATGTCCTTACGTGGAATTTGATAACCAAAAGATGTGGACGTTGTAACAATGTTTTCATTTTATTTAACTTCAAGGTGTTTTTTGTAAGCCCCTGTTTCAAAAAGAAAAAAGTAAACAAGTTATAACACTATTTAGAGATGTAAGAAAGTACATTGTAAATCCAATCTACCCTCAAGCTAAATATTTTGTGTAAAATTTACTTTACAAAAACACTAATGGGTGAATGGGGAAAAAAGTCGCAATGACACTGGGATAAAAAAAAATTCTGTGGTTTTGGGGCAACACATCACCCCCACTTCCCCCAAAAACAAGTTACATCTCTATAATTCTCCAATATTCCCTCACATATGTGACCCGCTCTGCAAAAATGAGTCTGATGTCGCATAATTTGAATTCAAGCTTTTGCCATTTTGAAATGGAAACAGTAAAAATTTGCTCAAAATTTGGATTTTTTTGTTTTTGTTGTATTTTGGTTGTTTGATAGTTTTAGTTCAAATATCTTACACAGAAATGTAAATATTGTAAGAAAAAGAAAAAAAATTATGAATCTTTGGTGCTTTTCTTGGTTAGTTACAGTGTATTTGTCATTTTTCAAAGCCTTTTTTCTCCATTGAGACACTTCTAGCTTTGCAAAAACTTTACAGAATGAAACAAGCACAACAATGCAACCAAACGTCCTAGAGAGGTCCGTGATATACCAAATGAAAGCTTATTTCATTCCCATTTTATTAACCCTTACTCTCTGAGGGTAGTTTACTGCATGTCAGTTGGTTATGCCAATGCCCTCCAGCTGCAGTTATTTGGCAGATAACAAGTCTTAACAGTGAAGGCTCCAATTGGCAGGAGTTGGAGGCCCTGGAGGGTGCCTGATACTGACCAGCTGGGGGCACTCACTTTGTTATCAGAGGACTCTCATTGTTCTCTGTGGCATGTATTGGAGTGCCTGTCCAGTTACCCTTGAAATGACATGGCAGATATTGGAGGGCCATGCAAAAAACATAGGAGATTTTCTTGAGGCACAATTGGCATGCATTGGAGGGTCAAGTAGGGTAAGGGTTAATGTAGTTAACTCAAAATGTCAGTTTTGCCACAACAGACTCATTTTTGCGGAGCGGGTCACATATAAGCTTTCCCAAAGACATCAAACAAGACATCAGCCTACACTAACCCAACACAATAATTGACCTTTCAAATTTCCCTCTGTGAATTATTACCAAAGCTCCAAAGTATTCTGTTTCTGTCTCCTTGCCTCCTTGCTCTCTGATGACCTCAGTAACTGCAGCCAGAACAGCACAAACCTGAAACAGAACATCAAATTTTTACAACAAAAATGACTGAACAGTTCCAATTGCTGATCTACCGTAATAATCTGAACACAAACATTCATGTTACTCTTTTGAATGGTCAAGGGGATGTCGATTTTGGTCCTTGAAATTAAGATAAGGAATATGAAGTAATTGGTGATGTCATTATGAAGAATCGTCGGAAGATTAATGAATCGTTTTCTTTTCAAGTTTGTGTAAATTTATAAAGCCACAATCATTCCATACTTTACTAGAATTTCAGTGTAAAGTAAATAAAGTAGGGTAATGGCAACAATCACAATAAAACCAGAATTAGTGATGTGTCTTTCTACAATTTTTTTGTAGAGCACCGTGCTCCAATGGTTACCATGTTCGACCCGTATGACACTGTACATGGGTTTGAACCCTGACTAGACAAAAATGGTGATTGTGTCCTTGGGCAAGACATTTTACTACAATTGCCTCTCTCCACCTAGGAGTATATCAACAGGTACCTGTGAGGGTAGAGACCCGATTGTGCCAATCTCGGCTGCAGAAAAGGGGTCTCATGGCCTGTTGAACAGAGGTAATACTAGACCATTATCATGTTGCGGCCATCTTGATTTATTCCCATTCAAATCAACGTAACCAAAGCGAGGCTGGAAGGAAAAATAGTCTGGTTCCTTTTTGCACAAAAAACATTACCATTCAGTACTGTTATTGGATACAGGGAACATGACTGAAATGGTGGCAGCATGATAAAGGTCGATAGTGAAGCACTTTGAGACATACCTTTGGTGGAAAGCATGACATTATTATCTCTGACTTGGTTTGCTTTTGCGTAACATATGAACAGCCTTTGGTAGAAAGGGAAAACTGTCGGCCTACCTCTTTATGTGAGGCCGCGTTGGACTCCCAGTACCGCTTCACTTTGTCAAACGCAGGATTGGAGCAATCGCTGACACCGCTCAGGAATGTCTTGTAGGTCTCGCCTCCGGCTGACTCGGCATCGTCGCTGATACCGAAGTCTCCTGAGTCCTCATTGTGATGAGCTAGAGCTTTCTCGGTCAGCTGCATGCCGCCTGAAACACAATGTAACAAATAAAGGGTGTGCAAGTCTTGCCAGTTCAAATCTTTTATGTGTATGTGAAAGTCTTGGAACTAGACACTGCCATACTTTGAAAATGTAAGAAGTAATGCTTTCTTTTCCTTCAATTTGTATAAGAACAAAAATAATTGCTTTACTTTGATGGAATTAAAACAACGCGGACATATCAGCTAACTGTCTGCTAAGTATCAGCTAACAACATGAACAAGTAACTACATGTAACATCTTACGCAATAATTATTTGATAACAATGAATTTAGATGAAAATAGAAGGGAAAAAACAATATAAAAAAAAAAAAATGCAAATTTGATAGTGAACCGGTCCCTCATTATTTTTGCTCTTTTAAGTTTTACCGGCACGGCACTAACAGTTAGTGTTTTTCGAGACTTTAAATAGCTTAGGAATGTCTATCGTGAAGAATACTAATCTGGTTCCGTGCTTACATAGCCGGCCGTTGTGACTTTTATTTTCACAAGATGGGAATCAGACCTAATGCAATTTCAGACTTTATTTCCGGCTTTAAGTAATTAAAAACAATCCTCAAGGGCTACAAATAAAAAAAAGAACGTGAAATACTCTGCATTTAAATGTAGGATTTGATTTAAAACAATAAAAGAAGGCAATCCTTATTTTTATGTACACGTGCATGAGTGCGCTATCCTACGATCTGCCGGCTAGAACAGAAAAAAAAAAGAAATCACTGCTAAAATATTGCTAAATTAGTAAATAAACACTTAACATGCTTAAGTTAATTTCAAAAATTATTAGGCTAATAAATTGGGGTAACGAACATGAAGAAAAAACAAAAACAAATTTGATTCAACACAACATTTGTGGCATATGATTGGTGAACATTTATTGGAAGATTGGTTTTGTAACAAAATCTAACTGACTGAAAAGTGAAAAGTTTTGACTGACCCTCTCGCCTGCCGGCTGACGGGCCAGGGCGCCTGTGCGCGTGGCCCGGTAGAAACCGATCAGCGGTGGCCGCTTGCCGATGAGTGGTCACGGTGGGATTACTGACACAGCTCTGCCCCTTCTTCCATCGCTTGGTCTTCTTTGGTGCGCCACTCTTCAGACGTCCAGGGCCCTTTGTCATGATTTATTGATACGATCGGAATAAAATGATAGACATAAAATGGGAAAAATGATTTTTTTTTTTCTCAACCGTCCGTAGCGAGAAAATGCTCAATCTGTAAGTATCATGCCATAAGCACGTGCAGCATTAAATCCCATCTTGATAAGGGAACAAGACTGTATCACCGGTTAGTATTGTACTAAAAATAAGCTGGTACCAAGTTGCGAAATTTGGCGCCCTCAAGTGTCAGTGTTGTGTTGGATGTGTCGTCGCTATTTTCCAGTCATGTCAATTTTTTGAAGCCAAGAAAATCAATATAAACTACTGGCTAACTGCATCAGAAGCATCTGATCATGTTATTCCATCCCTCTTACCCTTTTTGCTTCGTGGTGGCTCTGACTATCTCTCTGTAAGTTAAAAAACCATAGGCCTACAGTTACAAAAAAATGATCAAACACTGTCACAAAATTAAAACAAAGGCATGTGAATGTTGTGCCCATTCTTGAAAATCACGCATTCTCGAGAATGGGCATGCACATTCTTGAGAATGTGCAACTGGATCCTTGCTCAATCTTGGCAAAAAATAACTCTTCCAGATTGAGCGCACATTCTCGAGAATGCGCGACAAGATAACGGTCTTGTCGATGCCGAGCACCGGCTGCGCTTGGCAAGTCTAGCTGAATCCTCGTTCACTGATTCTCAATAATTATACTGTTGCAACGCAAGGCGCTGAAAAGTAGAGTGGATATGATAAGTAAAGGCGTATTAATATGGGGGGGGGGGGGGACCGGGAAAATATAAGAGACATAATAATACTAGTGCAAAGAATTCTGATTTTTGGGATAATAAAAGCGGGGGGGGGGGGGGGGACGTAAGAATGAAGAATGTGAAGAATGAGAATGAATACTGCGACATCCCATAGTGCTAATGCTATTTCCCATTTAAATTGCCACCAATTTATTGTTCACATCCCACCATAACGTCGCAAAGCTGGATTCTATCTAGTCAAAAGAGCAATTTTGGCAGCTTCTGGACATCGTTTTTTTCGTGGCACGCATATGATACATGCAGGGACTTGTAACTTGTCTAGCCTAAACAAAGCACTTCCCAGACTAGTTCCCAGTCCTCCGTTATTACAAAACTTCCCATAGTGGGCAGAAAAAAAGCAATAATAACAGGTTTAATTTGATTCAAATTATCGTAGTTATACGAGTACAGAAGCATAGCACATTTTCTTTCCTCTTTATGTGAATTGTTTCCCTTTTAACCGCTATACAATTCATTTAACATAATTATGTCGTGCAATGTTTGTTAAGATTGGGCAAAATTCATAAATTGTGCACATGATATTCCCACCCAATCTTAAGAATGAGCGCTCATTCTTAAGAACGCGTGCTCGTTCTTAAGAATGGGCGCTCATTCTTAAGAATGCGCGCCCATTCTCGAGAATGTGCATGCCCATTCTCGAGAATGCGTGATTTTCAAGAATGGGCACAACATGAACATGTGCATGACTCTGAATGCAAATGGGAAGTTGAACAACAGGTTGGCACTCAGCCTGGCAGACATGAATAATTTGGCATTATATTCGAATGCGCCATCTGGTTCACGGGTGCCTTCTTATTCTAGAACTAGAAGTAGTTCATGGGGCAAAAAGAAAACGTGTTGAATGCTATTGCTAGACGAGTTGCGCGCATTTCAGAATGAGCGCATGATGAGGTTTTCGATTGACAATGCGTACACAACAACGCGCTTAAAATTGGCCCATATAAGCAAGATGGTGCATATTACCGTTGAAGTGCATATTTTGACTATCGAAGTGGCTATCGTTACGGCAGTCGTTGTTTAGCGCCCTCTACGATACTTTTTTGATACGCACGCAGGTATATAATTTTTTGTTTCCACACGTTTTTGAGCAGTGCGTCAGCTCAGGCGGTAGAGGGTAGGATTTTGCACCGCGAGGTTGCGGGTTCGAATCTCAGTTTTGCACTCGAATTTTTTTCTTTTTCTAACCTGAGGCTTTGGAGGATTTTTTTAAAAAGGGAAATAAAGTCCGAATTTCATAACGTTCAAATTCACTTTTTTCCTTCTAATTTTATATTTTCTTGTCATGTTTTTATAAAAGTTGCAGTCTACCGTAACGATAGAAAATGGGAAATGCGTTACGGCTGCCGTAACAATAGCCACTGCGTTTGACTATTGTTACAGCTCACCGGAACGTGATTTTCTACAATACTGCTAATCATTATGGTGTTGCAAAATTACGATTGTGAATCCATAATCACATTTATAACGGGGCTTGTGTCGTCTAATTACAAGCCCGATTCCCTGTGTAAGAGAACAAAATCTACTTTTAATTTGACTTTTCCTCTTCCACTCTTGATCTTCCAGGTCTAGTCTGAGTTCATCACAGGACACCACCGATGAGCCATTCTCTTGCTACCAGGGCACCATTCAGAGTAACACCAGAGGACAGATCAAACATCATAGCGAACGGAAGCTGACCCCCCTTCCATGCGAGGAACCGATGTCACACACTACAACCATGACAACCCAGCCAACGTCGACAGGTTTGCTGCAGTGAAACTCATGAGTTCGAAGCAGATTGAAAACATTTTCGAAATTTCTGATCATTTTCCTTTTTTGACAAATTAGAACCGATATCAATGATCACAACCCGGTTTGAGTATCAGGGGGACGAAAAATTGTGAAACTTGGTGCATGCATACAACAACATAATATGAACATACCCAAGAATTTTCATGACTATTGGTTAAAGGCTTCGGGAATTATCGTCTAATTAATTATTCATATGCACAAATTGGTAAGTCTGCTTTGTGTAAACTACATATGGGTAAATTCAGTTTTCAAGGCGCGCTGCAGTGGAAAATGTTTGCTGCGTGGTAACCCATGGTCCGAATTTTAAGTTTTTGGTATCAAAAAATGCGCAAGACTTGTGGCCAAAAAGTCAGGAAAGCTCAGTTTGGAACTTTTTGTCTGCAAGTTTATTGCGGAAACAGTTGAGGGGGAGGGCGGATCCCCCCCCCCCAGGCACTTTTAGGGTTAGGTTTGGGTCTTTCATAGTCCAAATTGTTTGGACTAGTTTTCAGCCTCTTAATGTTTGGGAATCTCAGTACACCATATTGACCCCTTCTGTGATTATTGCTCAATGTGTATATGTAATTGCTACTTTCAGCTGCTTCTGATACTGGGGAAAACCCATCACAGACCCCCGCCCAGCCCACAGTAGCCCCAGTGACTACAAGCCAACCGCAAAATGCCTCCTTGGTTAGCTGGTGCACTGCAACCTTGCATCCCTCAAGTACATCTGTTTCAACAAATAGCACCTGGACAGCCAACTTCAGCTGCATGCTGGCCACCGCAGAGTGCCCGAAAAATGGACGTGTAAGAATATTCTGTTGTTGCTGATTACCAAATATCCCAATGTTGACATCTGACGTTTTTAAGGGTTTTATGTCGGCAGTTTGTGAGTCCGGATAAGTCCTGGTCATTTCGTTTTTACCACTTTTGAGAGCCCCATGTACTGGACACACAGTGTGTGCGTACTGTACTGTACTGGTTCGCGCGCGAAGAACGCACAACTTCCTGAATGTGCCAAAGCTATTAACCAAAGCGTCTTTGCGGAAGCATCAGGCGTCGCCGTGCGAATGTGTACAAATTTATCTTGCGATGGACTCCCAGACTAATCCCCACCCCCAATAACTTTGGATCATTCGAAATATGCAGTGGATGAATCGGGAACCAGTCTAGGTCTCCCCCAACTCTCCTTTTCTTGCTGTCGAAGGGGTACTTGTGCACGGAGCCCATAGTAAGCACAACTTTTCTGCTAACTGTTAATTAAAGGGACACTTGGTCCTGGAACAGCCCAATTGGGCTACAAAACGCGCTTTGAACGAGATGATGATAATCGGATATAACATTTAAAAGTAGGATATAAACATCCACACAACTATTCTTTCAAAACTGGGCGTTTTTGTGTTACTCCTGTATTATGCGTGCGAGAACAAATTTCGGGGTCCACTTTTGTGACCCCATAAATTCGAGCTGTTTGGATGCTAGTTGTGATTTCATTCGTACGCGTAAAGTGTTCATCTTTTGCGGACATTGAAGAAACCACAAATTTTTGCATTGGTGATTGGTCACCGCGCGCTGTTCCCGAGACACACAACGTGTATAGCGTACACTGAGAACGACACAAAAAACGTATTTGTACTCTGTCATGTCCGATGTAAACAAGCGGGTTTTTTTCGTCTTATCTCGGGAACGGTAAGACATTAGGTTGGTTTCCTTTCAACCAGATGTTTGAAATAGGCTTAGTAAACAATCCAAAACATAACATTTTCAGGGATTTCAGGACCTAGTGCCCCTTTAAGCAGCGTCATGATATTGGGCCAGGTCACAGGAAAACTCAATTTTGGGGACTCAAAGAACTCGGAAATTGACTCAAGGTTTTGACATCTCAGTAAAAGTCTGCTGATTTCAAGACATCACTGGTGCATTCAGAGAATGACCAATCGTGTGAATTCACTCTTTTTCCTTCTTGCCCTCCAGACGTATTGCTGCAAAACGTCCAACTGCAACAATCTTAAATTCTTCAAGCAACACACTGGTTTCGAGATTGCCACCGTCAATTCATGCCATAAGACGGGCAGTCACAATGGCACAGGACCAGGTATTGCGAACCAGTTAACCTGTTATTACCTATATTACATTGTAAACTCGTCAGCTATATAGCATATATGATAGCACCGCTCAAAATCCAAAGAAGAATGTTCAAAACCTAACTTGCTGAACCATCAGCTCAGTGGATATTACACTATTCAAGAAAACAGTGAAAAACCTTGCACAACCTTTCGTCAACACAATTTCGTCAATAGCACTCTTTATTTCCAAAAATCAGTCAATTGACTGATCGTTGGAAATCACCAACATTTCTTGATTTCCTCTAAACATGCTAAATGACATCAAGCCGGACAGAGTAATTGCAAGGGCTGTTTAGAACAGGGTTTGACTTTAGAGGTAGCCCGCTAGCCTGATGCTAGTCTAAACAGCGGTGGGCTAGTCAAACCATTCCTTAAGTAGCCCGGCTGGCGAGTCAAAAATTATTGGGATACGGCAAAGATGAAAGGACGGGAAGAAATAAAACATTAAATTCAGAAAGCAAACCTGTATCAATTTGTGTCTAATTTTATTAGCTGTTTAGGGTTAAATTATTAGATCTCTTTATTAAAAAACACTGACGAGATTGCCTCAGGATACACGTTTTACATGTATGCACATTGGTGTTTATGAGACACTATATAACAGAAAAACATGGGGGCTAGCAAGAAATGCCCGCGGGCTAGTTACATTTGTAAGAGTCTGTTTCAGTAGCCCGGCTGGCTAGTGAAAATAAAAGTTAAGGTCGATCCCTGGTTTAGTACCAGTACGATCTACAATGCAAGCATGCTTTTTGATTATTCGGTAGGTTAGTTTTGGAATAAATGCCAGTGGTCCTATCTGTCATTAACCCCTTCCCCATGGTACTGCCATGTCAAAAAGCAGTGACTGTGCTATCAAATGTCTGACAAAAGCTTGACATGCATGTTCTTGTGTAGGATGCATGTGGCTGGAGTAGTGGCTGGTATTGGGAATATGCACATGCTGTTGCCCATGGGCGGGGCTTATGAGCAACTGGGTGGGGCTTATTACCAAATGAGCGGGCTGATGACCAAGTCTGGAACGGTCCAATGGCGGTCGTGATAGTCCTCAAAGTTTTATGTAGAATTCCTGTTTTTGAGTTCATTGAAGGACATGGCATACAATTGTTATGTACATGTATTCATTTTTTTCCTCTCTGGGCGGGGCTTATATGACCAAGTGGGCGGGGCTTATGACCAAATTGTGACAAGTCCACAACGTTCCATGTACAATTCCAGTGTGGAGTTAATTCAAAGACATTACAACTGTTACATTTTCATTTTTTTCCCCTCTCTGATCTGACTGCCCTCTGCCTCTTTTCAGTCCCCGTGTACAAGTGTCCGGGTGGAAGCGAGTATTGTTACAATCGGACCGCTGACGGAGTGACGTCATTTGGATGCAGCTCAGGACGCACGCAGATTAGTTGCCGAAACATCACTCTTGATAACAAGAGTAGATGTGTAAAGGTAGGGGCAGGTCCGAAATGGGTGGCTAACATGTTGAAGTCCAGCACCCGATTTCACGAAGCGCTGCGATGCATCGCAACCCTAGTTATGGCGTGTAACAACTCGCGACGCGTCGTATGATCCATTTCATGAAACTTGCCATGTGTTGAACGCGTCGTTAGTTCCTTGACAACTGCTTAACACATGTCGCAAGTTACAACGTGTCTAGGTGGTCATGGCAAAATAGGAAGCATCCTTTTCTTAGCCAGTTTTATGCCATAAAAATACATAAATGAGACTATCATACCGAGACAATGTGTGTTTAATAGAAATTGCATTGCATAATTATGAATTAGCATGGAATATTGCGGTTGAAATTTCGAAGTAGCTATAGAGTCCACTGAGAGCTTGTTTTCCCTTCAAATGGCATCACACGTCCGCCATTTTGTTTTACGTTTTAAAAGTTTTTCGAGAGATCAGACGACTCTTTGCTGAATATCAGACGACTATTTACTGTACACTTAATAAATACATAAAACAGTCACCGAGTTGTGCTATAAATCCACCTACGACGTGTCGCACGTATGACGTGTTTTGTGAAATGGATCGCAGGTCGCATCGCAGCATCGCAGGTATCGTAGGGATAGGACGTGTCGCAGCACTGCGATGCATTGTTAGTTACGATGAGTTTCATGAAATCGGTTGCACAACTTTTCAAGGGGAGCAAAGCTCATTCTTGCTTACCTTGCAAATTTGTTAAGCAACATTTTTTTTTTGCATTACAGAAAGTCTGTGGTATTTGGCACAGCTGTTTGATTCTGAAATTTTGTAGAATGTCAAAAATCTGTTTCTCTCTGGGTAAGGATTTTTTGTAAGAACTAATAACAAGTTGAGAAGAAAGAGGAGTGAATGATTACGGAATGGTCACACTCACTATTAAAGTCGCCCATTTTTGTATGTACGCAGGTTGGGAAGTCCATTTTATGCTGTTGTGCCAGCGACAACTGCAACGGTCTTGCCAGTAATGCCTCATCAGTCATTCCTACTGTGCCTACCACTACACATTATTTAGTAACAGTAAGTAGCCCACGTAGGATCTTTTGCAAATATAACCGGAAAAGTACCTACCAATTTAATGACAGAAACCTTGCTACAATGTGAAGATGGGACTGGTATCAAATACCCTGTGAAATTATTCCGCCTGAAATGGTATTGTTTGAAAAAAAAAACAAACATTGAAGGTGGCTTCCTCATACAGTGTTGCCAAACTTACTTGTTGAAAAACTTCCAATTCATTCAGTTAAATACTGGTACTTTTACCTTAATCATGCTCGCTGTTTGAACCTTTGCGAACAATTTCAGTGTCATGAAATTGAGTCCGAAATGCAAAAAGGGGGGCGTCCGGAAATTGGGCAGTTGTAAGAAATCTCGGAAAATCCCCAATTAACATTAAAGAATTTCATTAAAGTTGAACAATTCTGATAAACCAGTTATTATCTCGCCTCACATACCCAACTAGAAGTTTGTCAAAAAATGTTTTCTTATTTTTGGGCGCATTTTTAAAAAGGGTTCACTGTGCACTTCCAAATAAAATCGGAAAATCATGCTAAGATAAATTTCTCTGTCAATTTTGTAACGGGCAGGTAACTTATAGATTTATGGACAGAAATATTTAGATCCTGATGAAATTTCACTTACCTTAAAATTTCAGGTAAAGCATTTGCTCTAGCAAGGCGCCAGAGGCGAAAAATCGAAGTGCGCAACGTTAGGGCCTCGCCACATTAGGGGATGTCAACCATACATGACCTTTCTCATCTTGCATAATCATCAATGGATTTGTAAAGATCATAGAGGGGTGATGTTTACGTTTTTGGTCGCACTCGCAAATAACTTGGCATCCTAAAAAAGCACTTTTATTTTCCACCAGGCCAGCAAGCCTTCTTCAAACTGGACGTTGGTGCTCATAATTGCGTGCGGTGTTCTGTTTGGCGGATTGATCGGTGTGGCTTCCACGGTGCTATACAAGAGATGGAAAAAGAAGCAAAATGCAAACGGACCGCTCAATATTTCCTACAGCCGGGTCAGTGCGGATTTTGCAGATGACGACAATGTCTTTAGCTACTAAAAGAAAGAAAAAAGATAGAATTTATGTGTGTATTTGTGTTCTTGATTTGCGTACTTTACTTTAAAAAGTACATGTATTGTTGCTGTTTTAGTTTTAATTTCATTGAATATTTAACTTAATTTCCTGAAATGAATGTAAACTTGATTTCATAAATATGTCCAAGTCATCAGTTTTTACACTGTTATCATTTTTTTTTTAATCGCAGTTTTGTTTTCAAATTTGTTTTGGGCAAAATATCGTAGAGAAAAAGCAGTTTCTATTTTTAAAAAAAAATCAAATTTTGTACCATAGTACTAGCTCTGGGTGTTTCTTTTTGTACATGTATTTATTAAGGTGATTAGGATTTTCATAGTTGTAGTGATTATCTACAGTACTTTTATCCAAATAAAACCTGCATATTTGACTGAAATCTTTGCTAGTATTTGGTTTAAAAATTACGAAATTCCTTGCATGTGTGTTTGTTCTGTACAATATCATATCAAATTGCTTTTCCTAAAGTTTTTTTTTTAATCGATGCTTAATTTTCTGATGACTTTGTAAAATTTGATAAACTTTTCAGAAACTGGAAAGGAGAATCTTGTCCGGTGTGTTTGGGGTGATTGTATTTATGTTCACCTTGACGTCAAATTGAAATAATTGAAAACAATTTTTTTTGGGGGGGGGGGGGGAGGTACTGTACATAAGTGCGTGATTCCATGAGAATCAAAAAAGAAAAAGTTGATGTTTTTATTTTCCTGTTTTGCATGAGGTATTCAGATGCTTGTTATAAAAGTGCTTACACAAAAAGTATCATTAGGTGCAATTGGTATGTTAAGGAACACTTTAGTGGCAGAATGCAGATTTTTTTTTTTATTTTGGCAAAATAGTTTTTCTATGACATTTTATGTTGTGCTTCCGAACCATTTTGGGTAGTTGTTGCATTTTGTATATATGTACATATTTGCCTTTTGAGCAGGATTGAATGGCCTTATCTTTGTAAATGAATCACTTGTGCTTTGCCTAAAAAACAAAAAATCAAGCACTTTTTTTCTTGTTTGTGAATTTGCATTTGTGTGGAAGGAGTTTTTGTCAAAGGCCTTGTGATCAAACGGTCTTTGAAATTATTATGTTAATTGATATAATTTTATGGGTATGACCTTAATTTGTTTTTTATTAACACTGCATGCATGTGCTCTAAATATTCCTAGTGCCTACAAGAGAAAGAAAAACTAACTTTAACTATTTGGTAGGATAATTGTATTTTATTTTTGGAAAGTAATCAGATTTCGGTTTGGCATTTTATGACCTTTCCAAAATGTTCTTGTTGGCTCTGTATGCTCACATAAGCCTACATGTGGTGCCAATGAGAAAAATAGAATTTAGTTTACCCTTTATGGGCTCCATGCGCAAACGAAAGAGGGCGCCCTTTTACCTAGCAACGACGTCCCATGGGCAGGACATTTAGCTGGTTGACGCGCACCGTTCCTTGTGTGTGACGCACGTACACCGGGGGATTTGTACTATGTACATGTACACGCAGTGGTACGGCTGCGCGTCGCGGCAAAATTGCAGTCGGGCAAGATTGCGTCGGTCAGTTACCCCTATTCACCCCCAACTGTACTTTCTTTGCCGGTGAGGGGGTACTTGTGAACGGAGCGGATAGGCAGGATAATAAGCAAGATTTAATTATTAAGCTTGTTTGCCCAATCACTTTTATCAAGTATGTGAATAGATAAGGTGAATGTAGAATTTGAAATTTTGTGGAAATTTTTTTCAATTACTAAAATTTTCAGACAAAAACATCATTAGATTGTCGTTAAGAAAGAAGACTTGTGTATTGTTTTTTAGTTAGCAGGCAGGGCAAGTTGGAATTGTGGATTTTGTCGAGATTCATTTTCCCGTCCAACCTATTTGAAGTCGGAGCATTGGAAGTGTACTGGACTTGACTCAAATCTGTAAATCCATCAATATAAGCGTTTCATAAGTAAGCCATGCAAAGCATGTCTATAAACATGAACTACCAATAGTTTAGCTTAATTTGTTTTTTCTGAATGAAGCAAATTTGTCAAAAAAAGAGGCCAAATTCAAAGAACAAGTTTTTATCTGATGCTGTAAACAACACATTACTGAAATGCCCCCAAGGAAATTTGTACAGCCGGTGGTGTTTATAATGTAAACAATTCAATTTGAGTTTATTCCTTTTTTGTCCGAGTGGATCCAAATGATGTACAATAATGTTACTTTGTACAATGAGAATACAGACAACCTGCTTAAAATTAACCAAAATGTGGCACACACACATTTCAAACTCGGGTTGCAAAAAATCAATAAAATGCAATTAAATTGAGAGTTAAATTTCGGAAAAACACGAGTCTGTACTTTTAATGTTGTCAGTCATCAAATCTCCATCTCAAAGCTGTTCCTACAATTGTAGATTCATTTGACTGAAGGATGCAAAAAACACGTTTTTCTGGTATGTTTTTGTACAATGTAAATAATATGTCAAGTAACTTGTAATTACTGATCAACAAGTTATTCAAATATGATGAGATTCCCCAATCTCTGAATATTTTATGCATACATAGTCACCGTGCCATCTTCTGCAAGATCAACTCACTCTTTCTAACAAGGACTTCTTCAGTTGAGCGTACAACTTGAAAGGACATGACCTAAGCAAATATTTGAATAATTTCTTTTATGAAAAATCAATTATAATAGACAATTGGTGGTTGTTTTGACTCTCTGCAGCCAACAGGCATGGTGTCACACAAAACAGTCTAAGTTCAAGCAATCTTAAATCACATCAATTTTTTTGAAACTCAAAGAGAATTTCAAAAGAAACTGTCTAAAGCCTCTTGCGATCACCTGTAAGTGGGCCGACTCCGGTGTTCCAAATCTCATCTTTGAAGAAACAATTTGAACAATTTCATTTTTATTTCTACATTTTAAAGAAGTAAATGTATACATATCTTTCAAGAAAACAAAAGTGCCAAAATTGGGTAGTCTACAATTATGGCTACTCAGTTTTGCTAATAATTCTTTTGACAAACGCATTCAACATTCTGAAATTTAAGTTCAAAACTAATTTGATAAAACTAATTTGATATCAGTTTCCCCAGTTTGATTGCTGCCCTCCGGAAACATGGTGAGATTGGCCTTTGCAGTATCCAAAGTCATACTGATTTGCAAGTTTGTAGTATTTGTGTAAATGTGCCATTAGGAAGACGCTTTTAGCTAAAATGCTGTACTTCAGGGAGACGAGGTAGATTAGGGAGACATATTATTGTCTCGCTAATGTTTCAAGTCTATTTCTAGGCATAAATTTACTTGTCGCAAATAGGCTAAATCGATTCCTCGAGAGGCAGTGGCGCACCTAAGGGGAGGGGGGCTTGAGACCCCCGAAGAGGTTGTCAATTTTTTAGTCCCACGCTTTGACCGTGATGATATGTGGCCTATTTTTGAGTAGTACAATAAGGGTGTAAATGGCGCCACCAACATCAAAATAGTCCACCCCCCCAAAAAAAAGTTACTGCGGCCAAAAAGTTTGGGCAACATTTTTTTTAAAAATTCATAACCTCTAAAAAAAAATGGGGGGAAAAAAATTGTGAGCCCCCCCCCCAGGCCCTCCGAGCCAATCCTGGGTGCGCCACTGTCGTGAGGCACTACCCAAATTGACAACTTTTGGAGATGGTAGGTTAGGTTAGGGTTAGGGATCATTAAAGTTTGGATTTCTTTGCACACAAGTCTATGGGAATGACTCCCAAAGGCGCCATTTCCTGTAATTATTATAACCACTAGAATAATCTCTCTCATTATAAAACAAGTTGAAACTCTTTGCTTAAGTCATGTTGGTGGTGTATTTTGTTGACACGGGCGATGACATCAGACTTTACCCATCTTCTCCATTTCCTGAAAGAGATACAGAAAGAATGAAAGGACTCCTGTTAAAAGTAAATTGACAAGCTCAAAATTATCAAATTAGTGGGTCAAATAAAGGAAAGAATGTTGCAACCGTGGGCACGTGTGGTCTAGCGGTAGAGCACAGGATTCATGATCATGAGATTGTGGGTTCGAGCCCCGCCGTGGCCATGCGTGTTGTGCCCTTGGGCAAGGCGCTTTACCTCAATTACTCCTATCAACGCAGGTGTTGAATGGGTACCGGCATTATTCAAATGCTGGGAAGGTAACAGACTCGCTGTGGAGGAGGTGTGGCGATTTCCCCACAGCAGCATTTCATGGACTCAAGTCTGGCCCAATCGCTTTGAAAGAGAGATGGGCACTCCGTTCCTGTAAATACAGGTTCATCCCCTTTACCTTAGCCTGACGCCACTTTTTTCTTCATATTTCATCGCAATAAGGGTCAGTCATTGCAATTTTTTATGTTAGATAAGACATGAATTTGGGACTGAGAAACATTTCCAATTTTGTTAGGAAATACTTAAGCAAATTTTTACTGACTCTCTAGAGACTTTGTACACAACCGCTGAAGTGGAGTCAAGATGCGACATTCTTTCCTGCCAAGACTAGGGGTATTCCGGTACTCGGTACCCGATAAAGAAACCTAACCTCAAAAATCAAATCTTGGAAGTTGCTGTTCAGACTGTTCATAAAGGTCCATACGATAATACAATTACATACATGTACATTTCATGTCATACATGTATGTGGAAGTACATGTATGGATATTTACATTGGTATTTACATAAGACAAGAACGTCAGATACTGTGTCAGACACTGAACCTGTATTCAGACTACTGCACTGCTTGTATCACCCGAGACCTCACCTTTAGCATAGTGGTCCCCATCTGAGCCGGGGACATCGTGACGCGGACGCCGGCATCTTTCAACGCCTCAATCTTATGTTCTGCCCCGCCCTTACCCCCGGCGATGATGGCACCGGCGTGGCCCATCCGCCTGCCCGGGGGCGCAGTTAAACCGGCAATGAAGGACACCACTGGCTTACGGTTTTCTCCCTGTAAGACGGAAACAGGTTCAATAACCAAGATCGATAGTCACAAACCATTCGGATGCTAGACTTGAGACAAGATTTGAAGGTTTCCATGATGAAGTCAGACTTAATATCTGAATGAGAGCATCGAGGCTATACATGGACCACTACATAGTCTTTCAGAGATGCCAACAGTCAAAATTAAAAAAGAGAATTTTTCATCAGACACCTGCTGAAAACAAGAACTTCCCTGTATAATATGATACCTGTTGAAAAATTGAAAAATGTCACAGTGACATTTGTTGCAGAAGGCGTATTTTTCCCTACAAACAGATTTCACAACAAAATCTCACTTTTTTGCTATACTCATCTTTAAACTTCTGGTGAAACGAAGCCATCGTTGTTAGATCTTCGATCAGCAAAATGAAAACACTATAACGTTCAATTGCCACAGAAAAATTCCCATGTTGCAATTTCCGTGAACTGCACCGTAGAGCACAGGGTTCAATCAATCCATAGTCTGGTTTCCTAAGTGTACACATAGGTAATATGTGGAAGTAGGTTGACAACCAGTTACGAACAGTAAAACCAGATCGCCTAACGTTATGGGAAATAGTCTGATATAGTCTGATAATAGTCTGATACACCAATAGTCTGATACCAAATTCCCATTTTATAAATACCCGCTATGCAAAAACAGGAGTCAAGATTCTATGTGTATTACAAATTGTGCATACATTACTTTACTCATGTAAAATCTTGGAAAACCATAGAAATCATATAAGTATCGTACAATCGTATTTGGGGTGAATAAATCGCATATATTACGCCTAAAACATAAATGTTGGCATCTCTAGTCTTTGTTCAAGTCTTGACATCGCATACTTGCATACAACATCTCCTGACTCAAAACAAGGGGGTGAAACTATTGTCGGACATTGACAGTCCATTCACCATGATATTTGTCCTAACTACTTTCTGTGAAAGCTCAACATTGAGTACTTTTAGTGCTAAATTCACATCCGTGCCTTTTCTTTTCAATTTTAATTCCCCTTTCCACAACTCACCACGTTGTTTTCCTTCAGGTATTCGGCAGCTTTCTCCTCCGCCCCGCCCCCAATCTCTCCGATCAGAACGATGCCATCGGTGTCTGGGTCCTTCAGGAACACCTCCAGGCAATCGATGAAGTTGGTTCCGTTGAAGGGATCTCCCCCAATACCTGAATCCCAAAAAGATGACAATAGCTTTCGCCTGTGTATCAATGTTTTGCTGAAAGAAAATGTTTAATCCTCACCCTGTCAGCACTTTTGTAATGAGCTTTCCTGAATCCTCCAAAATTTACCACTTTGCAGGAAACCAAAGGTACATTCTTTGAGCTCTTTAGAGTCAAATAAAAAGGAATGATGATTGGGCATTCTCCTTCTAAATCCTGCAAAGTCCTCCAAAAACCCTTGGTGGGATTTGAAAGATCGAGGAGGGTAAAGGGTTCATGGGATATCTTTCTTTCAGTAGAACAACGTACTAAGAATGAAATGCAATTTGATTGAAAACTGCATTTTGAATCAAATGCAATATCACTGAGACATAAGATGTTGCACTTTGTTTTACACATGTATTTTCTTTGGGAGCAAGATTGGCTGCATCCCTGACTGGCATACATAAAAAAAAAGTGCACTTGTAAGCAAAGCTATGTCCCAGGTCTATTTTGATTCATGGATCAACAGGTCTGCATTGCAACACTCACCCACGCAGAGGGACTGTCCTAAGCCCGCTTGTGTCGTCTGGGCTACGGCCTCGTAAGTCAGGGTACCAGACCTGGAGACAATGCCAATCTTGCCCGGCAGGTGGATGTGGCCTGGCATGATGCCTATCTTGCATGCGCCAGGCTGCAGGGACAAGGAGAAAAAAAAGGACCCTGACATAATGACGGTGCTGCAGAATGAATAAACAGCTACGAGCTGAAATAATTATATGCAGGCAGCAAAAGTGGAGTGCTGTGGCTTCGTGGTCTGGGGCATTGCATTCGTGGTCTGCGGGTAATTCTGCAGGTTGTGGGTTTGAGTCCAGCCCGGGGTCATGGTGCATGTGCTCTTGGGCAAGGCACTTTGTCACTCATTGCTTCTCTCCACCCAGGAGTAAATGGGTACCTGTGAGGGCAGAGATGGTTATTGTGATTGACTTCGCTGCTTTGCGCCAAAATGGCTGCATCGAGCTACATACTCCCCAAGGAGCTGAGATGGTATTTGGAATATTTCATTGGCCCAATGATCAGCGGTAATAATGATGTAAAGCCCTTTGATCTTTGTTAAAAGCGCTATATAAGAACCAGTTATTATTATTATTATATGAACAATTCAAATGCACTGTGCTTTGCAGTCCGCAGGACAACCTTTAACAATTTCAGTCATACTTTCATTCCCAGCATGACTACCAACCCCAACAAACAAACCCAGTCTCCTGGGGACGGGCAGAGCGTACTCTCTGAAATGTTGAATTTCCCAAAGTTCTTTTCAGAACCACACCACCGCAAAACAAATTCTTGGCACAAGGTACAACCGCTATTCAAAAAAAAAAGAACAAAGATAGACCAGAGATTCACGTTTGTTGTTACAAACGCAGAGTGGTCGGGTAAACAACTATTTTATGAACACTGTCCAGTTAAGTAATGAATATTTTTATGTAAGAACAAAGGATCACGAAATTAAATCCTTTTCAGGACAATCAATTATTTTGTTTAAAAAATGCATCTTAAACGCTGTGATAAATTTCAGTAAACATTCAATGTACACATACAAGTTATTTCTGGCTTGATAAAGGGCTTAGTCAAAAACGGGAAGTGAATACTGATTTAGTTCGGAGTGGATGTTCATTGTGAATTTATTGAACGTATGAACATTTAGAAAATATAAGTGTATGTATTCATAACACCAAACTTCCGGTTTGATGACGTCACAGTTTTTGGAAGCAAAAGGTGAACATTGTAATGGTATCGTTATTTGGGCTACGATATACGACATGGATCAAATGATCAAATTAAATTTTTACAATATGATCGTTGGCAAATTCTCATAGAAGTAACTTCCGGTCTGATGACGTCATGAATTTGAAACCTTGCCAAGTTATTTGTGGTTATTCAAAGAATATCAAGGGGTGATTTTGATAAAATTTGAATGGATGGTTTTCAACTTAAAGAAAGCAAACACTGTTTTATGTGTCGCTAGGGGGCGCCCTTTCGAAAGATGACGTCATCACACTACGTTTTTGTCTGGCATTTCTCACTAAACACTTGCATAATATATATGTCTGTGGTAAAATGTTTCCGCTTTTGAGTTATATTCGGTTTTTATTGCACTTCCGGTAACACCGGAAGTGAAGGTCAAGCGGTTTTGTGTCTGGGAACAAGAAATGTTTCTCACGGCATAGTCTTCAACCTCAGGAAAAAAAACGAACACGATTTTCCATTTACTTCAAAAGATATAGGGCAAACTATTTTGTCAAAATTTGCCCTTGAATCGCTTGTAATTTGATACCTGATGACGTCATGATGACGTAACAAAATTTATAACATCTTCGTAACATGGTACAAGTTCACACTAGGTTTTAGGATCATACCGTAAACCGTTTGGAAGAAACGGTGCTTTGTTTTGATTTCAGGCTAATGTCTACATTTTGAATTCACCTAAATTTGACCTTCCGGTAGAACCGGAAGACAAGGTCAAGCTAGTTCACGTACGTGACATAAAATGTTTATCAAATAATGGTCTATCTGATTACAAGGTTGGAACATGATTGATCATTTTGTTCAAGAGTTATAGGTGACAGAAGATCGTCATTTTTTTAACGAAAATCGCTTGTAATTTGACACCCGATGACGTCATAATGACGTCAGAGTAATATGCACCACTTAGAATGAGGGTCGATATATATTGAAAGTTACAAGTTCATATCATAAACCGTTTAGGAGAAAACCCTCGGAAACGTGCTGTATGGAAAAAAAAAAAAGATTAATCGTAACAATAATAGAGAGTGGTCGGGTTGTGCCCGACCACTCAATGACTGTACAGAAAAGCAACAGAGAAAAAAAAAATACTGCAAGTAAAACTTGCGCGATCCCCCTGGCATCCTGGCAGTTTGCATACATGTACAGGCAGTTAGTAAGGACAATTTTCAGTGACGGCCTTGATTGTCCACCCGGCAGGTACCAGTTCTCAGTTGAATGGGGAGTTTGGGGTTGAATGGAGAGATTGGATGAGACCCCGGACTAACATATGTTAGAGTCATGAGTAATACTGAGCTGAACTCTCCGGAGACCTCGGAGTCATTAGTAATACTGAGCTGAGCTCTCCAGAGACCTCGTAAATATCCATATTGGAAAGCATTTTTTTGTCGTCGGCCTTCTCTCCACAGACCAACTTTCAAGTTTGGTTGAGATTGATGACTGAATTTACAGTAAACTGGAACACACACACGGACACCCAGACACACAGAAGGAATACGTGATCACAATATCCCCCTGACTGGATTGAAAGCCAGGGGGGATAAAAAAGGCAGCAAAATTCACCTTGATAATTCCCGGGCAGTTAGGTCCCACAAGACGCGTCTTGTCCTGCCTGAGCAGCCGGTGCTTGATGCGCACCATGTCCTGCTGGGGGATGCCCTCCGTGATACAGACTACCAGACCAATCTCAGCCTCAATGGCCTCCAAGATGGCCGCCGCTGCAAAGCCCGGTGGGACGTAGATGACGGACGCATCGCAATCCGTGGCTGCCTTAGCCTGTATGAAACATGATCAAACAATGTTCATGTAAAAAACTTGTTCTCCAAGTGAGTTTTGGGCCATTAAAGGGAAAATACAACATTTGCAAACATCAAAAAATAAAACTACCAAATCATTTTGAAATACCTTGCTGGACTGTTAGTGAATGACAGTGTAAAGCATCCTGTAAAGTCATGGCACCTGGTATACTGTCATTTTCAAGAAAAGTGGTATTTTTGTATCAATTTCCAATGCTGATCGGCTGATCGGCCGATCAGTGTTGGAAAAAAGTGGCTTTTTTTTCAAATACTGGCCCCAGTTGACCATCGCACTTGTTTGCAATCGATTACACACCTATGAACGGGTACAAGCCAGCTAGACTGGTTCCCTGACCTTATAATTCTCCAATATATGTAAACTGCTCTGTTTCTTCTTAAAAGGAGTCAGGGAACCAGACTACAGGACAATGATTGTTTTTCTTGGTTTTTATAGCATTGTCGAACCCAAAACCTCAAAAAAGTCAGTGTAACTATACTTGCTATATATTTCCAACCCCCCCAATTCCATCCATTTCTGAAAGTTACAGCAAAAGCAAATGATGTATATTCTCTTTAACCTGAAGTTTCCTAACCTCCCCAACTCCATCAAAATCCATCCCCCGTTTTGGTGGATTTTGGGGGACTTGGTCCTGCAGGCCTGGTTTGACTAAAAATTGATGGAGTATGGTGGACTTGGGCCTGGAGGCCTAAAGCAAAGTATGCATTGAAAGCAGCGTAATTGATGGATTTTGGCGGACTTGGTCCAGTACTTAGTAAAAGACAGTAGGGAGTTAGGGTTAAGATTTTAGGCAACAACCCTGCGCACGACATAGGCTTACATTTAACTTGAAAATGACTACACTACAGGACTTGTACACCACTTTTACAAAATTGTTACAAACTACAATAAAGGTGAACATCGGTTCACAAAGATGAAATTCCACTTGGTTAAATGGGGTTTCAAATGGAGCGAATGCTTTTCAGATTTGTGCAAAACCACAGAATAATTGGTCTGGTTGGGTCAACAGAAAGACGCAGACCAACTCTCAGTCACTAAATTAGGTCCAATAGGTTGGCCACGGGCATTTCCCCCTCCACTCCCACCCCCCCCCTCCCCCTCCCCATACGGTTCTGGGAAGATCGGAAGAGAGTGCCCTTTCCCAGCTCATGCATATTCGTAAATGTCTGTCCAGGGGCTTTTTGCAAATAAGTTGTATAATAAGGAACAAGGGTGTTTAAATCACAGACGCAAGGCAGCAGATTCTTGGACTGGTTGGAAGTTATCATGACTTTTAATCAGTTGCTCTGAGTTTGAATCCCAAGGAGGCCTTGTTTTGCTTCTTCTCGTTTGATCTTTTAAGTAACATTGGTGAGAAAGCAACATTCTTAAAACATTGAGAGCTTTAGCTGGGTTTATCTCAAGGTGTAATCGACCAATCAGAAGATGGGAAACCCGATCCGTTTGGGAAAAAGAAAATTCACGGGCTGGCCATAGGATTATCTATGTACATGTGAATGCTGGTTGCTTAATGGAGTGCCTTGGCTTAATGGTCTGGAGCACTGAATTTGTGGTCTGCGGGTAATTCTGCAGGTTGTGGGTTCAAGTCCAGCCTGGGGTCATGGTGCGTGTGCCCTTGGGCAAGGCACTTTGTCACTCATTGCTTCTCTCCACCCAGGAGTAGACGGGTACATGTGAGGGCAGTGTTGGTTACTGTGAGAGGTTGATTACGACCAAGAGCACCAAAATGGCTGCCTACCGACCGTGTATGCTCCCCAGGGTGTTGAGAAGGTTTCAGGAGTGTTTGCCCATTGAAACAAGGAAAATAATAATTGTAAAAACGCCTGCTATTATTATTATTGTTATTTATCCCAACTTGCCTCTTTACAGTTGTTGAAGACTGGAAGCCCGCTGGCCGTCTGGCCTGCCTTTCCTGGTGTAACTCCGCCTACCATGTTGGTGCCATACTCCAGGGCTTGGGCGGTGTGGAAAGCCCCCTGTGTGGGGAAATGACAATAAAGTGTTACACTTGCTTCATCATGTGAACGTTGAACGATCAGGGAGGGAAAAAGTAAAGACAAATTACCTGTTTGCCGGTGATGCCTTGACATATCACCCTCGTTTCGTTGTTCAGTTGAAGATTGGCCCTGGTGTGGGTGTAGCAACTTCTAGTTCCTAAAGAGTGGCTTCGAGCTGCTCAAAATAATAACCATGCAATTGTCATTAGTAGACTACGTGTATTACTATGTCAGTCATTTTTACGGAAGTCGACCGTTGCTGAGGCAAGGTTGGGCATTCATCAGTTAGACAACCGAATGGTTCTCATTAGGCAACTTCCTTTTAAACAAATCCTTCAGAGCCATGAATTTGAAAGATTAATTATATCTGGCCTTCGCCAGGTGTTAAGAAAATCAAATCTTAAGAATGGAGGTTTCATTTGCAAAAAAATGTAGTATCCATCTTTGGTGTACAAAGTCTATGGATGGAGAGTTGAGTGAATTTTCAAAGTACTTTTTAACAAAATTTGAAATGTTTATCAGTCCCAGTCTGTTTTTTTTTCATTTTTGTAATTACTGACCTTCAAGGAGATAATAATATGATAAAAAAGTGGTATCAGGATGCAACATTCTTTCCTTTCATTCTCTTATCATCAGTCAGTATAGCCCCATAAATGTGGCCAATTTACTGGACTACCTCCGTAAATAAAGGCCACACTTCCACCATGTGCAAAAACATGTCGAACTTTGTCAAATTTTGATTTTCACATTTAGGCTTAGTTTGTAGGGTTTTTTTTTCTTTAGAAGCATACCTACCCTCTTTATAGGCTTATCAGAAAGTGCTGCCTTTTTCAGATGTCTAATTTTCGTAAAATTTCATGTTGAAATTTTGATACGCAAACGTGTGCAAATGTATCTGGAAATTTCACGAAAAATGGACATCTGAAAAAGGCAGCACTTTCTGATTAGCCTATAAATAAAGAGGGTGAGTATGCTTCTAAACAAAAAACCCTACAAACTAAGCCTAAATGTGAAAATCAAAATTTGACAAAGTTGGACATGTTTTTGTACATGGTGGAAGTGTGGCCTTTATTTACGGAGGTAGTCCAGTAAATTGGCCACATTTATGGGGCTACAGTCAGTATTACTTTGTTTAAACTGTCCTGATTTCGGAATGAAATGACGTCACGCATGATTATAAATGTATCAGATGTAATACAGGAGACTTCTGACTTGGCTCCGTGGATATACTCAGACTTTTACTTTACACTAAGGAAGGGGTCCTAAAACTAGTAACCAATGGCAGTATGTACTCCATTCTAAATAAATTCTTTTAACAATGAGGGCGCTCTACTTGTTGTACAGTGGCGTGCCAGTGGCTACGAGTTTTAGTGGGTTGGCGACAGTGTTTCTAAATCGTAGAATTACATCAAAAATACAGTGAGACAAACTGATAAAAAGACACGAAATTGCTTAAATTATGTGCCACAATGTTCCCTTGTAATATTGCTCCAGTCAAAAAGCAATGTACATTAGGTTTAATGTGTTAATTTTACCCAAATTTCTGGCAAATATCCTCCCAACTAGTGCCATAGTGTTCAACGCCGGTTGCATTAGTCTGGTAACAATTCACATGTCGAATGTATACACAACGAGGGTAAGTAGGGGTATCAGACAAGAAAATCGCCACCGCGAATGTGTTATAGCGCCACCAATAGTTGATCTCTCATTAACTTAACATAACAATAAAATTGTTTTGTTTTTAGACATCTCGCTTACAAACAATCCCGTTATATTTATGTTTCCTGAATCCTTTCAGCAATGGCTGCCCCCAGTAATGACAAGAATTTGGTAGACGAAATGGAGGCTGCTTTTCAGGTAGGTATAAGAACCGTAAAATTTGTTCTGGGCCTTCTTGAAATAACTGAAAATAATCTGCTATTAAAAATGCTGTGACTTTTTTTTTTTTTTTTTTATACATGTGGGTGCATGGAGGCTATTCATGGTCCTACCTCCATGGTGGGTGGATAGAGTGGCAAGCTAATAATGGGAGGGGGGTGGAGGTTGTTGTCTTTACTTTAATAAAATTGGTATTTTAAAATGGTATATATTAATATAAAGATGTCAGTCATGTCAGAAGACCCAGTAAAGTGACGGGTGTCGGACGCTTCGCCCCATTTCCACGTCGCCCCATGTCACTTCGCCCCTAACCACTTCGCCCCATCCCCACTTCGCCCCATCCCCACATCGCCCCATCTCCGCTTCGCCCCATCCCCACTTCGCCCCATCCCCGCTTCGCCCCATCCCCACTTCGCCCCATCCCCACTTCGCCCCAGTAGTATGAAAAAGGTGAAGGCTAGTCTAGGGGTGCAGACAAAATAAACTGCCAAAGACCCCAGTTAATAAATGCTCCCAATTCTAGAAACTCAGGAAAAATACAAACTCTCTGATGTGGTGCTAGAGACAGATGAGAGATCCCATTCAGAGACGCCTCTCCTATTGGCTTGTGAATAAAATCATCAGCCGCTGGATTCAAAAGAATCCGTAGGTATGGGTCAGTGAGTTAAAAGGAACTCACTGCCTTGAGGAAAATGTTCCGTCAAAATTTGTCTGATATGTGACACTTACAACTTCATTTAGATGAGATTGGTTCCTCCAAGAGTGAAATTAGGATGTCAAAGGTATTGTCGTTCTCAGATAAGTGGGAGACGGGTTGGTATAGCCGGGTTGGGAACAAAGTTGGATCTTTTACTTCAAGCTTTTTTCTCGGTAGGGGAGAGCCTAGCTTGAGAGGTTGGTTATGAATTGTTCATTTGGTGATGGGCTAATTCTTTTCGTTGGTTAGCAATTAGTGAATCTGTTGAAATAGTTTTTTTTTAAGCCAAAAAAATAGATGAGATTTTTTTTTTTACATTTAACGGTTGGGGCGAAGTGGGGATGGGGCGAAGTGGGGATGGGGCGAAGCGGGAATGGGGCGAAGCGGGAATGGGGCGAAGTGGGGATGGGGCGATGTGGGAATGGGGCGAAGTGGGGATGGGGCGAAGTGGTTAGGGGCGAAGTGACATGGGGCGACGTGGAAATGGGGCGAAGTGTCCGACATTCAAAGTGACGTACTAGTAGTACAACCGACCAAAGACAAAAATTAAAAAAAGGAATTCTAGCGCTCCAGTTACTGGGCTGGGTTTAGACTAAGTTGTACCATAGAATGGGAAGAATTAGACTGCTATAAACACCACTGCCATATAATGTCAAGACATAACATGATCCATGCTCTTCACAACTTGTTATAAAAAAACCAAGCCCTGTCTTTCAAGATCTTTGGACAATTTTTGTCACTAAATTTTACAAACATAAACCTTGAGGTATAAATGTCACTGACTGTGTTTTGCGATCAAGGAGTTCCTTTTCTCATAATTTGTATTTCTAGTATTTTGATGTACCTTTGTGGTGAGGAGTATGCTTGTAAAATATTTCCAAAAATCGGACATTGGTTTACAGCCTACATGTAATTCAGTTCAGCGTTACGTGATTATCCTAAGTTATACTACTTTCCTTTGAAACAGGGATGCTTCTCAACGTTGATTGCTCAAGATCACCTGAATGTTGTTGATTCGCAAGAGACAAGGACAAGTAAGACGACTTAGAAAAAGAAGTTGGCCATCATTTAGGATTTATTCTCCAGTTCCTTTGCATTCAACATGTTCCAAAAATTATATTTCAATTTCATTGTTCGGCGTCCTAGTGGATAAACATGTAAATTTGTCGGAAATAAAACCCTTTCGAAAGTTACAATTCGTCCCTGAAATGGATGACAAGAAAGTTGGTTGATTTCAACACAAGGTAGAAAAGGTAGACAGGTAGAAAGAGTTAAACTCCTTCTAAATGGAATGACGCATAATGCTGAGAAAAACAAGCATTCAGATACACTGTTTGCATTTCAAACTTCGGTTTGATATTCGGTTGCACAGACATGGTTGTGATTGGCACAAAAACCCCAAAATTAATCATTATACAAATAATAATTGCGGGAAAAGGTACAAAATGTACCTTAGGGAGACATTACCATGGGGTTGTGCACAAAATTTTCCCAACTTTAATGAACCTTGACCCCAATTTTCCCTTATCCTACCCCTACGAAATTTGGTATATTTATATTTTGGACCACAAGCAATCGATCTAGCTTATTTGTGACGAAAACATTTGCCTCTAAGTTGTGACATTAGGGAGACAAATGAAATGTGTCCTTAATCAACCTTGACTCTCTAAGGTATAACTTACGAAGACAAAATGTCAGGAATAATGTTTTATAAAGTACACATAACTATATCCATAAAATAAGCGCTCATTGTGTGTTCAGTACCCTGGCTGTTGGGGTAGGTCTTAATGGGTTGATCTGTCGATGACATTACCATTTTTAAAATTAGCGTGTGATTTTCAACACGAGAGTTCCAATTCAATATTGGTTTTGCCCCTGTGTGATTTGCATGACAGGTGTGGAGCAGTCAATCCAGCGATTCCTGGACGTTTCCAAAGAGCTGGAGAGTTACTTCCTGCAGCGGCAGCAGATGTTGTCGGTTACCCGACCTGAACTGCCTATCAAAGAGGTGTGTGGTGGGGGAAGGGATGTGTGGAGAGGGGGGGGGGGGGGGAGGAGGGGTAGGAGGGGTTTGCTTGTGTCGAAGGGGGGGGGGGGGAGAACCACGCATAGAAAACTGGAATTTGGATCCCTGGATCTCTCTAGATACAGGTTGGGTCCAAAAAAGAAACTGAACGGCATACTTCCGCTACCCTGAGACTCAAACCACCTGTACCAATTGATGGAGAATCTTTTTAGAAGAAATATAAAACCAAGATCTTCCGAGTCGATCCAGTGGTTTTTGCTGCAGAGCCTGTTTTGTGAAGCACATATTTTTCATGGGGGTATTAATAATAACAATCCCTCTATCAATTACAATGTAAGTCCAATTCCCGGGCGCGGTTTAGTAATTCATCTGGACAAAATGACTCCCGACTTTGTTTCACAAAATAGGCTCTAGAATAAAATCTACTGGACCGAATTGGACGATCTTGGTATTGTTTTCTTCTGAAAGAATTCTCCATGCAGTGGTATAAGTTGTGTGAGTCTTCAGGTAGCGGAAGTATGCCATTCTGTTTTTTTGTGGACCACCCTGTATAAATGATGCATGGTGCACGGGCTAATTAACTCTTACTACATTCTGCACCATTTTTGATCTTCTGAAAGTATCTCCCAATCATGATAATTGCTATACCCTAATACTGTTGGAATTGGGAACAGGGCCTTCTCAGTTAACAATTCAAAAATTCTGAATGGTTATCGTGGGCCAATTTTTGGGGTGTGGTGTATCATTGGAAAAATCATAAATAAGGTTGTGCTCAGTGTTGTATTTGAGGTACCTGTGATGTATCACAAGTCATAGAGTTTCAAGTCAACTCGCAAGCTATTCAAAGTATCTATGACAAAGTCATTCTTTTGTTATATAGTTCATCCCCTGTTACTTGTAACTGGACTTGTGCTTTGACTTGTGGTTTGCTTATGCCCAGACGTGTGATATACTTGTGATCCATTATAAATACTTGGACTATAACACAGATAGGTTTGTCTCATAGACGGCTATCTCTGTAGGAGAACTGCAAATGCGTATTTTATGCGATCAGGCACGCATTGCGTAGTGTTGAAAATGTTCCAAATGCGCTTGTTGCTCGAAATGCGTTTGAAATACGACGTGGCCAATGTGCGTTATGCAAGTTAACGCTCAAAATGCCGATGCACATGGCTGGTCTGTAGGAAATGACGTCATTTGAGAGAGACCTACATTAAATAGAAAACTCCATGGGGTGTAAAATAGTGTGCACATCTTCAACAACTGCCCGTCTTTTACATCTTCCACCTAGGAGGTTGAGGAGTTGAAGCAAGAACTCCAACGCAAGGAGACCCTGATCCAACAGCACCAGGCCAACATCCAGAAGTGGCTTGCCGTGCTGCAGCAGTCCGACGGCGGGGTGCCACCCTCCCCACAACAACAACAGCAGCAGCAGCAGGCAGCACTGCAGCAGTCCCCCAGGCAGATGGGGCCCAGGGCTATGGGCTTCCCTCCCCACCAGCCCGTGCCGTTGAGCGGGCCCCTGGCACACCTGGAGCATGCTGCCTCCAGTATAGGAGGCAACTTTGATCGCAGGTGATGGGACATGCGGGCTTTGACATTTCGTTTTTGGAATCTATTCTAGTACCATCAAGCAGTGTCTCAGTTCTGTTTCAGAATTGGCTCCAAATGTCCTGGCAAGAGAGGGGAACCCGCAATGGTGAACATGGAAAACTGTAGTTGCTAATACATGTCCATTAAAAGGAGTAAAACCTCTCTTAAAAATTATTTGCTACCGTCTCAACTTCGTGTTTTTAAGTATGGATACGTTATCTCTGTGATGCACCACACGCATTTTAAAAGCTCTGAAGAATGCGTTTCTTCTGGTCGCGATCTGGAGTCTGACCTTCTTCAGAATTATGAGGCATAGCTTGGACTCGACTCTTCTGGAACTAGCTACTGCCCAGAGTCCATTCCCAAGAAAAAAAAAGTTGGGATATGATTTCAATTACAGGCTTGGAATCAATTCAATTTGATTCGGACCCAGGATCGTCTAGCCTAGTGACACATTTTGGCCAGTTTGTTCGTCTCTCCTATAATTTAAAAAATGTAACTTTTATTGAATGCGCCGTACCAATTATTACATTTAGGATTGTCAGTGACGGAATTCTACTGCAGACTTGGATGTTATTTGTGCCACAACTGATTTGCTACTGCGGTATTGTACATACCTACATGCTAATGACAACATTGTTTATTTACATGTGTACTCACTTATGGAAGACAAGGGGAGACAAAGTGTAGAATTCGGGCGATTCACAATGCAATGCGCCACCAAGAGTTTGCCATGGAGAGTCCATTTTTCAAGTTTACGGTCGACAAAACATGGCCCGTTTGAACGAGTGTCAGTAGACAACTTGAGCTAATTTGATATAGATTGGGGCATAGTGTTCAGCCGCCTTACAAAAAACTCTGTACTGATAAAAAGAAAAGAACAGGGCAAACATACATGTATACTCCAATCATACGCTTACGAAACTACTTGCCGGAAACACTAACAATTTCAAATGTCCCGCGCTGCGAATTTGTCGACTATCTCCCGCAAGGAACTGTGAAAATGAACTCTCCATGGCAAACTCTTGGTGGCGCACTGCATTGTGAATCGCCCGAATTGAACCTTTTTCCTAAATTGTGAGTTAAGAAACAAATGAGACTATTGAAGTCAAAGTATTCTTTGTATTACATTTTATTTGCCATTTATCTTCACAAATGATTCCTTTGTACAAAGTTTTCAGGGGGGGGGGAATAAAAGTTGATGGCAGATTGCCATACTGTACTAGATTGAATGAGTTTCTTCTTTCATTTTCAAAGTACAGCATCATAAAATATAAAGTGGATTAAAATAATCAACTTCAAAGTTCAATTTACAATCAAACGGTGGTTAATTTCAGACAATTGAATATTTTTATAAAATTTACTTACATACTTTTACTTAATCTAATAAACTCTCGGATCACTATCTAGTCCCATCCTCTTTTGAACCCATTAGTCCCCGTACCGCCCAAAACCGCCCTACCTGTTACTCCCTCACACTGCCCCAAACCAGATGAGCTCTATTATAAGGATTCATCAGGCAACAGAAGTAATGTAATAAAATTTCATACAGCTGCTAATGGGTTCGAAAAATGTTGAAAATCAGGGGAGATGGGAGAATATACTATGGACTCTGTGCACATGTACTCCTTCAACGGCCAGAAAAGGAGAGTTGGGGAGACCTAGACTGGTTCCTGGTCCATCCACTGCGTATTTCGCATGATCTAAAGTTATTGGGGCGGGGATTAGTCTGGGAGACCATCACAAGTTAAATTCGAATGTATTCGCGCGCCGACGACGCCCGACACTCGCACATAGACGCCGTGGCAAATAGCTTGGGCACATTCAGGAAGTTGTGTGTAATTAACGTGTGAACCTGTGTAGCATGAATTTAGGTTTTATGAAATACGCACTCATTGATGGTATTGCGCATGCTCATGCATAGATAATTAGGAGAGGGACCGGTCACGTGAGAGGGTTTAACCAATAAAAGGGAAAAAGAGTCCGATTTTCATACGAGTCCGATTTTCATATGACACCAGTACTTTACAGTGCACACATGCTTGTGTGTCCCGTCCACGAAGCCCATAGTCTACAGCATTGCAATTATATTCCGGCATGATCCACATTATGAGGCAACTTCAAATCTGCTTTGGTAAAAAAAAAGGAAAGTTATAATAATTTATTCTATGATCACCTTTACTTGTCATTCACAATTAATTATTCATGCTCAATTATATGCAAGTATTATGAATACTTATGAATAAGGAGTTTTCACAATAGTAAGTCATTTCATAACACCTCACCCCGAAGTTCCGTTTCTGGATTGGGCAGATGGTATTTGTTCGCTTAGGCCCCAAGAGAATATACCAGGGCTTAAAAATATAAACACCGCCATAAAAAAAGTCCACACTCACTGGAGGGGTCATAATTTTGAATCTGATCATCTTATCATCTATATACTTTCTGTGAATGCAACAAAGTATGTATGTCTGGATCTTTTTCTTTATATCTCAGTGATTCATTTAAGACTGGTTTGCCATCCTTGCCACAAACTCCACCAATGTTCTCAATGGACGGCCTGAAAAATAAAGAGAAAGAAAAGAAAAAAAACTTAAAATGTTGTCATCAAAAAATGCAAAGCGTTAATCAAGGATGTACTTGAGTATTTAAACATCACAAGACAATCACAATTCAGAAAACCATACTAGTGCTCAGCCAGCTTTTCAATTTTTGGAAAATATGAATTGTTTCCGTTGTCGGAATACAGTAACAAAAAGGAGTTTTGCGTACGATCCTACCTGTCATGCCTTTGACAAGGTAGGGAATCTCATCTTTGTTTTCCATGACCCCAGCGATGTCAAGGTGGGCCCACTCAGGCACGGTCACAAACTCTTTAAGGAACGCCGCTCCAGTGCAGGATCCTGCCGACCTGTGGGAAGGAAGGTGTAAGGTCGTTGAGTCAATAGGCCCTTCTTGCTTTTCAATTAAAGGGAATATACAACATTTGCAAAAAAACAAACCACCCAAACAAATTACAGTCGACTCTCATTAGTACAAACTCTGTTAATACAAAATTCTGGTTATAACAAACATAAGGCCTTGGTCCCGACTGTGCATTTATGTGCACAATGAATGGGACTGATGTTCCTCTTCATACAAAATTCTGATATAACAAACAATTTGGCTAGGTCCGAACGAGTTTGTATTAGCGAGACTCGACTGTATTATGAAATACCTAACTGGACTGTTAGTGAATGACAGTCTAAAGCATCCTGTAAAATCATGGCACCTGGTGTGGTGACATTTTCAAGAAAAGTGGTATTTTTTGTATCAATTTCCAATGCTGGTCGGCCAACCAGCATGGCTGGACACCATGTGATTATTGGAGGTGCTGCACTGAGGTTGAGCAATAAGATTCTTTTGGTGAGAGGGACAAGTTTCTCTGAAATTTTTTTTTTAGGTGCATACTGCAAAGAAAAAAAAAATCGGCAGCTGAATATGTATGAGGTATAGTAAAACAAATATAACATGGTTTATTTCGGGTGGACAGTCGATATTAGCTCCCCTCGGTATTGGACATTGACAAACTAGTTTGTCAATTTCCAATGCCTCGGGGAGCCTCATTGGGCAAATGAAATATTCCAAAGACACTCTGGGCTCCATCGGAAGTATACAGCTCGATGCTTCGAAATGTAAGTTAGACAACTGAACAAACCTTGGATGTTTGCCAACATTGTTGACGTCAGCCAGGTGGCTCTCCGTCACCTGACTGGTGTAGTGTTTGTAGAGAGGCAGACGCCACAACCTGTCGCCGGTCTCCACTCCAGCCTGATGTAGGTCTGACCACAGTGTCTCGGAGGTAGAAAAGGTGCCTGTAGCGGCTGAACCCAAGGCTACGTCAACGGCTCCTGAAAGGTACAAAGAAACAACAGGAAGTGGATATAAATGTGGCTCTCCAGACCATCCATGTGATGGCCATAAAACTTTTCAAATATCCAATGTGCATGTCAGATGCATTCAAGCTTGCTGTCTATCCATACCCAAAAAGTAATGAACATTTCTACTTAGAGCTAGTCGTGGGCATAGGTGAGCCGTTTTGTATTTGGGCAACAGTGTGAACCCAGTGTATTGTGATCAGTTCACACAAATGTATTGTTGAAGGGAAAATACATTTGTAACAGCAAAACAATATTTTTCATTTTCAAGAAAAACTGTTTTTTTCCAACGCTGGTCGGCCGACCAGTGTTGGAGAAAACTGTCTTTTTTCAAAAAGTGCTCCTAAATTGTCATATGTAGTTCGTCTGCATTTTCTTTGCAATTGATTACACACCTGTGAAGAGGTACAAGCCTGCTAGACTGATTCTCTGATCTTACAATTCCCCAAAGTTTGTAAATTGCTCCGTTTCATCTTAAGTGGGGTCAGGGAACCAGAGTACAAGAATATAATTGGTTATCTTGGTTTTTCCAGCATCTACAAACCCAAAACGTGAAACAAGTCAGTGTAACAATATTTTCTATAACATACTAATCCTCCAATCCATTTAGTTCTCAAAATTGCAGCAAAAGCAAATGTTGTACATTCCCTTTAAACTCTGACCTGTGAGTGTTGCAAGGTCAATCACAGCTCTGGGCTCAAACTCTGTGCATGCGTAGCACAAAGCGTCAGCCAGAAGGACCCGTCCCTCTGCGTCAGTGTTGTCAATCTGAGGAGAAACGGAGAATGTTACAGTCATCGGGGTGTGCTTAGGGTACATCATTTGTCGGTAGAGTACATCATTTGTGCATTTTTTTTCGTTTGAAGCAACAAAAGTGCTCAAAATCTAAAGAAGGGTGCTGCACAACTAACCTGATGAAGTTTCAGCTCAGTGGATGCTGTATATTTCAAGAAAACAATATTCTACAATCTCGATTTCAATTCAAAAGTTGCAGAGTCATGTGTTGAATTTGCATCCTGAAATCAGCATCTGGGACACGTTCTGATTCAGTCGATTGCAGCTACGCAATGTCATGCACCGAACTGACGAATAATAGCAACCGCGCGTACGTCGTGTCAACGCTTGCGTGCACTCTTTCATGGCTTCGCCGAATTAAAAACATACTACTTATGGAAATTTCCAAAGAATGTCTTTAGACAAATCGTTGGAAAAGGCCTTCCTTTATTGTTTTCTTCAAAATGACAGCATGCCAGAAAGAATAATTTCACAGGGAGTTTGGTACCATTACCATCTTTAAACCAAGTAAGTATTTCAACAATAATTTAGTCAGTTATTTTTTGGATAGCTGCAAATGATGTACTCTACCTTTAACAAGTATGCAACCCCCCCCCCCCCCAATGACCCCCCAAAATAGCCAGTGCTACTTTTGGGTGATGGGCTTATAAAAGAATCACTACTGTTACTGAGTTGTTCACATGTGCACACTTTCACCTGTATTGTCTTTCCATTCATCGCCTTGACGACGTCCCCCGGCTTATTGGCTGACCCGTTCAGGAGGTTCTCGCACAGTGGCGTCAGGGCAACTACATTGATTGGCAGCTGCAGCGTTGCTATGGCATCCATTGCCCCGGCAACCACAGCGGCTCCGCCCATATCGGCTCGCATAGCATCCATGTTCTGTGCTGGCTTGATGGATATACCACCGCTGTGGAAGTATTATTGTGTCAAGAAGAAAGAATTTTGAAAATTTTGAAAAGCGACCGAAATTAAGAGGACATTATGGCCTGGAATACAGCCAATTCTGCTACAAAAACGGGTTATAAATGAAATGGTATTAAATGGAAAGAGCATTTAAAAGTAGGATTTATACGTCCACACAACCATCCTATAAAAGCTGGGCGTTTTTGTGATATTCTTGTGAGAATCATGCGAGAACAAATTTCGGGGGTCAAAATTTTGACTCTCAAAAATCGAGCTGTTGAGTGCTAGTTGTGAATCTTGCCGCAGAGTGGTTTGCATTATGCAGACGTGTAAGAAACAACATTTGTGTATTGGTGCAGTGTGTGTATTATGCAACACAAACACACAACGTGTACGGTACACTGGATAGACACAACGTGAAATAGGTATGCATACGCCACAAAATGTCCGCCGCGACCGAAAAATTCGGTTAGTTTCCTTTCAACCAGACCTTTGAAATAGAATAGGTAAAGTGGTAACATCCATCTATCTCCTAATAGATGAACTACAGTCATATAAGAGTTGCAAGCATAGAGCTATATTAAATTACTAGAGCGCTAACTCCTCATTCTTGCGCGCGGAGATGCTTTGAAGCCACTTTGGGCGCAGACATTTTGAATTTATGCGCGTGTTTGTAGAACACAATCAAAATAGATGGATTGAATTTTAAAAGTGTACTCTAAACGCAACGCGCAAGTAGAAGATACGCAAACAACTTAAGCGCGTCATGACGGTTCAAAAAACGTCACGGCGAAAAGCATCTGCAGCGGAGGGCAGCGCACACGTTACGCTGTTTGCGTGGAGCAAAATGAAACGCTCATTTGCTGATCGCGCGTTTCGGTTTTGGGCGCATCGGCTTCGATGACGCACCGGTATGGAATACAAATGCAGATATGCAAATAGCCGTAGAAAAGCCGTACAAAATTTCGAGTTTTCCATAAATTTAAGCACAAACATGAATGCGCCCATCAGGCATTACTTTGTACATCGAGTTAGCGCTCTAGTAATTTAATATAGCTCTATGGTTGCAAGCCAACTTAAATTTCTATAACAGCTGGAACTGTAGTTAAAAGATTGGCACATCATTGCGATACCTATCGAAGGTGACCCCTTTGCCAATCAATATCAGCGGTTTGACTGCTGGGTCTGTTCCATTGTAGGTCATCTCTAGGAAGATCGGCGGCTGATCTGAGCCCTTGGCAACACTCAGGAAACCTCCCATGTTCTTCTCCATTGCCCACTGCTGTGTACTGGGTGGAAAAAAAAATTTGCTGGTTATAATTGTTCTTTTTTTCATTTAAGTGTCTCAGTCCTCCTGATTTGAGGCGTGCGATCGCAGCCCCACGCCATTGCACGCCTAAAAGCTCCCGAGAAGTGCGAATAATCGCACGCCTGAATCCCTCTGTACCGCACACCTCGGAATACATTTACGGCATAATCTGTGAGCTCTTGAAATGGCTTTACTGTAAACCAAGATGAAATATAAAAAATACCAGATTGTTCAGTCCCAGTTTGGACCACAGAATCACACGCCTAGAAAAATCACAAGCCTAGAAAAATCACACGCCTAGAAAAATCACACGCCTAGAAAAATCACACGCCTAGAAAAATCACACGCCTAGAAAAATCACACGCCTAGAAAAATCACACGCCAAGAAAAATAACAAGCCTAGAAAAGTTCAGGTGTGCCTTTTTCCACACGTCTGTGATTTTCAAATCAGAAGGACTGGTGTCTTAACAAAATACAGAAAAAAAAGTCACAGCATCAACATACAGTGAAATCTTGATAAGTCAAACTCTGATAATTCATAAGATGGAATTTTGCGTCGGGGTGATGTAAATCAAATTAGGTTTTGCCCTTCGTCTATACGTCGGTGAAAGGCAAAACCTAATTTGAAAACCCTGAAAACTCAAAATAACTGTTAAGTCCAACAGAGAATCCATTGCCTTCAGTAGCACAACAATGATGCTTAACACAACCTGCTTAACTCAAAACTCTGCTTAAGTCAAATTTTGAACCTGTTCCCTTGAGGTTTGACTTTATCAAGATTTCACTGGTACAAAGTTTTTTATCAAAAATTTGAGCGAGCTATCCCCTGCAACCAATTCATTTATGTGTTATTAGGTCAACATACTGCGCTCTTGTTACGATGGTCTTGGTGATGCGAAGCTGCTCTCCCGTGATCTCGGCAAAGCGTCTCGGCGTCAGTCGATTGGCCGGCATCTCCATCAGGGTCCGGGCAAAGTTCTGGCTGCTGGCCAAGGTCATACCCCTGGCCCACTGCTCCTTGGCTGACCTGATACCCCGCAAAGTTACACAGATAAAAAATAAGAAATAAATATTTGTTAATGACATGGGTCTAATTTCGTGGCTCTGTTCTGCCCATAATTTAGCGCTTTTATGATCACCATTTTGTGTTTAACAATAATAATGGGAATTAATAAAGCACATTAAAGAAAATTCAAAGCGCTTTTACATTGTTATTGTACCTGCTCCTTAGACCCATATAACATTTCAAAGACCGTCTCAGCTCCCTGGGAGTATCCGGTTCGTTTAGTGACTTTGATGATGTCACACTAAAGAACCAGATACAGCTCAATGCAGCCATTTTTTCAGGTGCAAACAGCAACACTCACCCAAAAAAGAAAGTCACCCCTTCCAAAACTTTTTGTCTAACTCAAAAACTACTGAGCACCTCTGATTCTGGTGGTTACTGCGCAAACACCTCATAAGTGAGTATCTCGCATAGGTCGCAATTTAAGACAAATGATACCGAAAACAGTTGCACTTTTGTATACGTGCAAGTTGTGGTTCACACTCACCTTGCACCTATACAAAAGTGCAACTTTTTTTGGTAGCATTTGTCGTAAATTGCATAATTTTGTACACATTATCACTGTTTTGGGTAAAACAAAGAGTATGGCTTGATTGCTAAGGAATTTCTGTACTGATCAGTCGCAATTTGAGCAAGACGTGCCCAGTAGTTTTTGAGTTACACAAAAAAGTATTAAGGGGGACTTTCTTTTTTGGTTGAGTGTATGTGCAATAACCATCTCTGAGCAATAACCATCTCCCCGGCAGGTTATTCTTCAGAGATGGTTACTGCGAATAGCTGTTTGCACCTAAAAAAAAAGGCTGCATTGAGCTGTTTCCGATTCTTTAGTGTGACGTCATCTCAGCTCAACCATGCGTACTTCACACAATGCAGCATAGCATGAATGGAACCGGAAGTTAACGCAACTTTGGTTTCACTCATACATACTTTTCTGTATTGCCCAATATGTCCAGCTCCACGAGTGGCTTTCTCTTGCTTTCATCTTTCAGCTCATCGTAGGAGAACAGAGCGAGGCTGGCACCTTCTGCAGCAGCTGCAGGAATAATGGGAAATACAATGTATTTGCAGTTAAGTTACTCGAAAACAATTTAAAAAAAAATACAAGCAAAACAAATGATACTGCATTGAGCAAGCAAGAAAATGCAAGACATTGAGGATTTCACTGGCTCTGATGAGTGTAGCCATTCCAAAGAAATGACTACGCTGTCCTGAATGATGATCTAAGATGTAGGAAGTGGAGATAGGGTTGGGGGTTATGGGCTTGGGGTTGGGTTTTCAAACCCTGATAACTCTATAATGTCCCCTCACCCACTACCCCATCCCTAACATAGGAAATAGCATTGGAAAAAAGTACAAAAAGAGGACATTTACCATCACTGTTATGTGAATTAAACCTCTAGTTAACAGTAGAAATTGCTCTTTAACCCCCTTAGGGTTCCTCAGGACTACCCTCTTAATCCAACAGAGTCCAATGGTTACTTCCTGCTCAATCCAACATAATACAATTGTGCCTGACTTTTAGTTGTCTGCTGGATCCAACAGAGTCCAACTTGTCGACATTTATCAGTACCCAACAGAATCCGACTCTGAATATGTACATATTCATTTGCACAAGGGGTTTACTGCTCAATCCAACAGGCTCCAACGGGTGTATGATATAGTTGGATCCTGTTGGATTCAGCAGGGTTAATTAATTAATGCAAACAAAATGCTGCATATTGTTATCTCTCTTACTTGTGTGGGCAAACTGTATCATGACCAGTGCCCCCTAGTGGAAAATGTTAGTCCAGCCCATAGAGCTATATTAAATTACTAGAGCGCTAACTCCTCATTCTTGCGCTCGGAGACGCTTTGAAGTCTGGGCGCAGACATTTTAAATTTATGTGCGTGTTCGTAGAACACAATCAAAATAGATGGATTGAATTTTTAAAAAGTGTACTCTAAATGCAACGCGCAAGTAGAAGATACACAAACAACTTAAGCGCGTCTTGACGGTTCAAAAATGTCACAGTGAAAAACATCTGCAGCGGTTGGACGCGCACACGTTGCGCTGTTTGCGTAGAGCAAAATGAAACGCTCATTTACTGATCGTGCATTTCGGTTTTGGGAGTATCGGCCTCAATGACACACCGGTATGGAATACAAACGCAAATAGCCGTACAGAAGCCGTATAAAATTTCGAGTTTTGCATAGGTTTGTGCACAAACATGGATGCCCCCATCAGGCATTACTTTGTACATCGACTTAGCACTCTAGTAATTTAATATAGCTCTATGGTCCAGCCCCTGTCAAATTTTCCTTGGCCAGTGAGATATTTCAAAATTTCTTAACAGCCGTCATAGAGGCATTCCTGCTTTTAAAGCTATAGTCCATCATTTGCAGCCATCCGAAAAGTAACTGGCGTAATTATTGTTGAAAAACAAACTTGGTTGAAAGATAGTAAGGGAACTAAACTCCCTGTGAAATTATTCCTTCTGGGAAGCTGTCATTTTGAAGTAATCAACGAAAGAAGGCATTTCCAACGGTGATTCTTAAGAAGCACCGTAGGAAAATTTAAATTAGTAGTTCATTTTGTTATTCAGCGCAGCGCGCACAAGTATTGGAACGACGCACACGCGCGCGCGGTTGTTATAATTCGTCGGATCAGTGCGCTACGTCGCGTATGGCTGCAATTCAAAACAATTCAAAACATGATTCAGTAACTTTTGATTTGAAATTGAGATCGTAGAATGCTGTTTTTCTCGATATGTACAGCTGAAGCTTAGCTGAAACTTCATCAGGTTAGTTGTTCAGTATCCTTCATTAGATTTTGAACCCTTTTGTTTCTTCAAACGAACAAAATGCACAAATTACAAATGATGGACTATAGCTTTAATACCAGTCTTGATTTTTCATAACTACCAATATGCCATATTTCTGAGAGGGATGGGTGGAGCCAACTCATCCCACCCACCTTGTGCATCACTGCAAGGGTCCACACTGATGTGCTTGGCCCCCGACTCTCTGAGTTGCGTAGCGCCAGCGGCAATCGCCGCTCTAATATTTTCCTTCGCCTCGTTGACCTGCTCCACATTGTTGTATCCCGCAGACTGCTTGCCCAGACCCACGACTGCTACACTGCTGAAATCCTGTACAAAAAATTGGATTGCTTTTTTCTAGTCTTTTGCCATCAACATGCAAGGATATTTCTAGTTTGAATCAGTTTGCGTCTGATGACGTGTATACAAGCAAAGGTTTTGCAGTACAGTGGAACGCCGCTATAACGAATATAGCGGGATCCACAGAAAGTGTTCGTAATAACGATTGTTCGGTATAGCGATTTTGAATCGCCGGTATACGCTCTTTTGACCAATAGTGAGCTGGCATTTCTCACATCCCGCGGCCGCACGAGGAGTCGTCACAAAACTTTAGCAACGTTTTTCCCTTTTATTCCTTGGGGAAATAATAGCCATCTACCGCTCTTCAACATTCAAACATGATGTAACCATGGGTGGTTTGATGTTCAAATAGCGTTTAATGCATCCAGTCGATTTTTGGTTAATCTGTTGATTTTTTCAACAAAAATGTTTGGTACGTTTTGTACATTAAAACCGGGAGCCACGGATGATGTTCGATATAGCCAAATGTTCGGTATAGCGGTGTTCCACTGTATTCGGAACGGATGATTGATGAACACGCAGGGAGCGTGGCCGGAAATATCTGTCAGTGACCCGCTCGCAGCGAGTTTCCAGAAATATTAGTGTGCTGACCGAAGGTGGTGGCTTCAAACTGCCTGGCATTCAGGGTGATGGCTTCAACCCGCCTGGCTTGAGGTCGAGTGAAAATTAATCCCGCGCCTCGTTCTGTTCTTGTCAAAATAATCCCGGCGCGAACTGGTTAAAGGTGCACTTATGTACAGAGAATGCCAAAATGTAGCATTTTGGATTGTTCACTAACCATACTTCAAAGGCGTGTGTCAAATGAAATCCACATGTCTTACATTTACGGAGAAAATGTTGAACAAAATCCTGTTTGTTTACATCTTACTTTGCAGCCATTTGTGGCCTTGCCTAATGTATTTCCAGCAGTGAATAAAAGCTTTTACATTATTTAGAAACGCTATTGACATGCGACTAGTGCCATATGTAATGCATGCCAAGTGACAATTCACTGTGGGCGATCAGTTTCACAAAAAGAGAGCAAATGTGTTTGAAGCAATGTTTGGGGAAAAAAAGGAACATTTGTGACTGATATCAAGACTAGAACTGCAACGGCTTATGTTAGAGAGCCAACATTTTGTACCCAAACATTCTTTCATTTGATTATTAGACAAAAACTGCAAATTGTTCAGGTGAAGTAGTGTTATAGACTAATTCAGCAAACAAAATTAGAAGCCATTTTAGAGGGGGCATCACGTTTGCGCTTGTGCCGCATGCATTCTTAAAAACGTGGCGCGAGCACATTTTGGTAACACTATTGGTCGAAGGATCAGCACGGAGTGCGTGCATATTACCTGAGAGCGACTCGCGCAAGCCTTTTACCACCTCAGAAAATGGCAGTTGCCGGATTAGTCTACAGGATGAGTCAAAAAAAGCGAAACCCAAATGTTGGGACCATTGTTTTAGTGAAGTTCTGCATGTAGCCCTTTCAAAATCTAGCATATGAAAGCCCAATTCATAGGCTTTCTTTTAGTACAAGAATCATTAAAAATCACTAATGTACTTTTCAAGTTATGGAATTTTAAACACAACCACAGTTTTAAAGTTCTGTCCACGGATCACAAGAAGGTAAGTGTTCTACCGGTATCAGCAAAACGAAAGCAAATCACATCGGGATATGTGTGAATTGTCTTCATTTTGTTGAAAGAACGCACACCTTTTTTGTGATCCGAGGAAATGGTGGTTGTGTTTAAAATTCCGTAACTTGAAAAGAACATGAGTGATTTGAATGATTCTTGTACTAAAAGAAAGCTTATGAATTGGGCTTTCATATCCTAGATTTTCAAAGTACTACATGCAGAACTTCACTAAAACAATGGTCCCGACATTTGGGTTTCGCTTTTTGTTACTCACCCTGTATAGTATATTGGGACTTTTACGGAAACAATTTTTGAATGCAAACCTGATTGACATCGTAGAGAATCTTTGCCTTGCCTTGCTTCACGGTAGGCCCAGCACTGAAAAACAATTCAAATTTTGGAGCATGTAAAGAAAATCAACACGGATGTCATTTTGATTAGACACCTCCTCGATTGATACATAAAGAACAAGGGTTAGATTTCAACCATATAAAAACAAGGTTGATGACTGAAGCATTTTCCACAGCAAGTATCGCGGAATGACCGAAGGCTGGTTCATATACCGGTACTTCATCAAATGCGAATACAAAGCAATTTTGACGTAAAAAAAACGTTGGCTGCCAAATTAGTCGTGGTTGAAATGGTTAACTTTTGCCATTTTGCTGTGACCGCACAAATTGGGGTCTGCTTTTGCGCTGAGTATGAACCATCCTTAAAGACATAGTCCATCATTTGTAATTTGTGCATTTTGTTCGTTTGAAGCAACAAAAGTGCTCAAAATCTAAAGAATGGTGCTGAACAACTGACCTGATGAAGTTTCAGCTCAGCTTCAGCTGTATATTTCGAGAAAAACAACATTCTAGGATCTCAAATTCAAATCAAAAGTTGCTGAATCATGTTTTGAATTGGGCCTGAATTCAGCGTCTGAGACACGTTCTCACTGAGCCCATTGCAGCTACGCGATGTCGCGCACCGATCTGATGAATTATAGCAACAGCACGCACCTGTACATCGTGCCAATGCTTGCACGCGCTGCGCCGAATAACAAAACGAACTACTAATTTAAATTTTCCTACGGTGCGTCTTAAGACGCACCGTTGGAAAGGCCTTCTTTCGTTGATTTCTTCAAAATGACAGCTTGCCAGAAAGAATAATTTCACAGGGAGTTTAGTCCCCTTACTATCTTTCAACCAAGTATGTTTTTCAACAATAATGACGCCAGTTACTTTTCGGATGGCTGCAAATGATGGACTCTGGCTTTAATGGGGTTTGAAAAAGCAAGCTTTCCTTAAAACCAGTTTGTGTCTAAATGCTTAAAATAAGGCAAAAATCCAAGTTTCTTGGAGTATGAGCAAAGACATGATTGTCTCCGTTGTTCTGATTTATAAATAGTGAACTCATTGTTAAAGAAACAGAGAAATTACAGCCAGTGTTGAGAAAATTCTCACATGTTCAAGAGTTCCTGCAATCGCCCTGACGCTCTGTCGTTCACTTCCTCAGCTGCCTTTGTAAAGACGAAACCTTCTTCTTTGTCATCTTCTTTGCTATACACACCAACAATGATTCCCTTCTGTGCATGGAGTAGAATCATTTTCCAAATTAATTCATACACAAAGTACAGGCATAAATGAGTACCCTGAAGTTCACCTTGGACAATATCGGAATATTCACAACTCTACTCTTGAAAGAAGGTGCTACATTTAGTGTGAATGACATTTCCCTTCCTTCTCCATGATAGATTGGAGGATCTTTTGAAGTATTTGAACTGCATAATACCTACTAACAATTCTACGCGATGTTCTGAAAATTTCAGGGATTTTGTCCTCCTGGAGCAAGTAACTTTGGACACCACAATTCACATTTTTTAACTACTGGATATAAAGATGGCGATGTAGATCATGTTAAAAGGGCGATTTGTAAGGTGGTATTTAGGGGATTCCAATCCGGTTGGGTAAAATTGGGTAATGTTAATATTGATGAGGTGGTTTCGTGGGTAATGTTTAGCTTCAGTATTACATTATGTATGTCTTGTTTGTATGTGCACGTACAAACAAGATCCTGTCTACTCATTATCATAATCGATGCATCGCACTCGGTAACGGAATCACACTGGGACCATCGAATGAATGCTGGACACGTCCACATCGCGTTGTTTAAACACGAGTCGGAAATTTAACGCGTTCACGATCGCGAGGGGAGGTCTCGGAATTGAACAGGAAATTTCACTTTTCATCCGAATCGTAAGCAAACTTTAGTACTTCGATTTTAATCATCAATCTCTAATTGTACCTCAGGTGGCGTATCTAGTCATTTGGAGGCCGTTTTGAGGTAAATCTGATGTTTTTGTTGGCCAATGTTGGGGTTTTTGTTCAACGGCAGAATAGTGTCGCGCGACGTTTTCTCATAGTTTCTGGAGAATCGCCACCAAAATCAGCGAAAAATTTCATACTTTAGTCCTCGTTGTTCTGTTTGAAGTCGATTATTAGCTTCATGAATGTCTGCTCCATCGTATGACTTATGAGGTATGAATTAAGGAATTTGGGATAATATAGCGAAAATGGATCGTTTTGTAAAGCACTGGGGATATATACGGTCCAGAATATCGGGCCTCTTATGACCCCTTTCTTGTGGCGATCATGTAGTGAAGGGCCCGGTTCCTAGGGAACAAAATCCACTTTAAAATTATAGACCGACCAAACTAGTTGGCGAAATTCTCAATAAACAGGCATGTCATAGATAGAGGGAAGGGTTTTAATTCTTGAGGGAAATTTGGGGGTAAAATGACGATGACAGCACGGCGACAACACGCAACCCGAACATAAAGATGGCGATCACCACCCGATGTACTGTGAGCACGCAAGGCGCGCTGAATCGCAAGGCACAAACCGCGAAGGAAAATCGTAATTTCTACCCCAGGAAACTGTTCAACATTGCAAAACGGGTGTCATTAGAATTGAAAAAAAAATCTGCTTTAGATAGTAAAGGTGATTTTGAGCAATAAAAAACATTTTTGACTCTAATTTGATCAAAACAAAACAGGGGGTCTACACTACACGATCCTGACGATCGTCTTTCTTGTAACATAGTTGTGCCTCCAGCTTACTCCTAGAACTATGAGGCTCCGCGTGAGCGGAGCCTCATAGATCAAGAAGCCCGCAAAATTGCCTGCAGCACAAAACACTAATAAAGTACAAAAACGTCCATCAAAATGCAGCCATTTCACACAGAACCGCTGCACAGTTTGCCCCTATACTCCGTACTTTATCTCTTGACATACTCACGTATCTTGTGCGGAACTAACATGGGTGGATTCTGTCGGTTTTTAGGCCAAAATGATGAAAAATATGCCCTTTCCGCACTGAGCCAACCTGACACTTGAAACGTGCACGCATATGATCGAGCGATGATTTTCGGTTCGCTCGGAGCGCGCCGCGCGTACATGCACTTGTTCGCATTTCGCTTGAACCGTACCCCCCGCGGCGCGCTCCGAGCGAACCGAAAATCATCGCTCGATCATATGCGTGCACGTTTCAAGTGTCAGGTTGGCTCAGTGCGGAAAGGGCATATTTTTCATCATTTTGGCCTAAAAACCGACAGAATCCACCCATGTTAGTTCCGCACAAGATACGTGAGTATGTCAAGAGATAAAGTACGGAGTATAGGGGCAAACTGTGCAGCGGTTCTGTGTGAAATGGCTGCATTTTGATGGACGTTTTTGTACTTTTATTAGTGTTTTGTGCTGCAGGCAATTTTGCGGGCTTCTTGATCTATGAGGCTCCGCTCATAGTTCTAGGAGTACATGTACCTCCAGCTCTCATGCGATAAGCAATAGAGCTGGAGTTAGTCAAGCTATAAGTATAACCAGATGATATTAACCGGGCCCGTAGACCCTACTGTGGTACAGTCATGACAGTGGTAGGTCATGTAGGAAGGCCCTAGATCATATGTAGATAGTAAGATACACTAGTACTACGGAAAATCAGATAGGCCTACACCGTACACGATCGCCAAATTAAAAACCATTGAAATTCACATGAAATAAGTTGAAAATAAATATAAACTGTTCAAAATTAAATATTGTGAAATTACCTTTGTAACGTCAGAGCAATAGTTCCTGTTCCACGAACCAAATTGGCTGGAAACCCTTCGGAAAATAGAGAACGTAGTTCTCACTCGCATGGGCGCCGCCATTTTGATTGTAGCAATGCATTCTGGGTTGGGTATGATCATGAACGAATGGGATCGACCCATTGGTCTCCATATGGAGATCAATGGATCGACCGGGTCAACCTCGTTCCTCAAGGGTACGACCTTGCGCGATCTCAACCCCTGGATTTGTCTCATTTAAATGTGTCAAAATAATATTTTGACACATTTAAATAAGACTTATTGAGGCACATATTTTGACACATTTATGATGTGTCATATTATGACACATTATAGTTAGGGCTGCAGTTGATGTATATAATGCTCGACGCCATCTTTAAAATGTTGAAAGTTGTGTTTTTGAAGTATCCTTTCAACATTTGGTCGTCACACACACATTTCATTAAGTATGACATTGATAATGATATCTTAAAAGTTGGTATGCAAGGCCTACCTGCTTTTTCAAAATTTCGATTATCTTTTCCGATTAACAATCAAAGGACTTTAACATCCCGTAAAAAATAAATTTGCTTGTTTGCTTTTGCCGGCCAAGTTACACAGTTTTAAAAGCTGGTTTGAAATGGCAGGCTTCACTTCTGAAATTGCGCGCACTACTGCTATTCAGAATAAACGAATAAGGAGCCTCCTGCTACGTAATTCGAAAGTTGAAATTAATTAATTGATTGCTTGACATCGGCCGAGTTTTTTCCATGCGATGTCTCATTTGAGTCCTCATAGAAATTTTTGATTTTTTTGTTTAATTCCATTTGTATTGAAACAACATTGTTATTTAGGATCATACTAAGAAAGACTTTTTTGACACGACGAATAATAATAATGATCCGATGTTGCGCCGGCATATCAAATTCACACAAGCACCATACAAGAGTCGCCCAGGCGCGGATCCAGGGGGTTTGAGATCAACACCCTAGCTCTGTGAGAGAAAAAAATGTGCATAGAAATTACTTTAAAATAATGCGACCCCCTCTCTCTCTCCGACACCCAACAAAATTATACTGGTTTAACGTCCGACTGTGCACAAAATACGGACAGAGGCAGCTTGTTTATGGGATATTTGTAGTGTTAATAATCGTCGGATTGGAACAGCGCCCCCATTGACAGTATGGTGCGAGCTAGTATAAAATACATTACATCTTTATATTTTCCCCTTATAATATTTTATATGGCGTTTCTTACTTCAAATTACGCCATTAATAATGGTAGTCGTATTGATCGAACGAAAATTAATTTTGATAACATTCAATTATTAAATATTCATTGATTTAAGACATTGACCTTTGTTTCATTTTTAATATCATCGTAGACCTGCCGAGCAGATGTAAATATCAAACTAAACCAAAGTTTAAAGGGAATGTACATCATTGGCTTTGGCTGTAATTTTCAGATATGAACTATTTGAGAGAATAGTATATTGTTACACTGGCATGTTTGAAGTTTTGTCTTCGAAAATGCTGGAAAAACTAAGAAAAAAGAAAAATTTGCAAGTAGTCTGTTTCCCTGACTCCACTAAAGATGAAATAGATCAATTTATAGATGCCGGAAAATTGTAAGATAAGGGAACCAGTCCAGCTGGCCTGCACCCGTTCATGAACATGAAACCAATAGCAAACGAAAGTTGAACTGAAAAAAAAATTGGTAAATTTTGAGCAGTATAAAAAAGTGAGGTTTTTTTCCAACGGTGGTCGGCCGACCACCGTTGGAAATGCATACAAAAATTAGCTTTTTTTTAATAAAAATATGACTTCACCAGGTGCCATAATAACGGGATGCTTTAGACTGTCATTTACCAACATCCTAGTAACTTATTTCTTAAAAACTTGGTAGTTTTATTTTTCGATGTTTGCAAATGTTGTATTTAAAAAAAAATCAAAAAGTTATGTGCTAGTCAAGCTTTCAGGGATCGGTCTGAGCCATAACAATGCCCCAGCCAATCCCTTAGTTCTCTTCCGGGGTCTCGGCGTCCCCGACCAATACACACCTCCTTCCCTGTCCATCCATATAACCCCGGAGGGCCAGGCACCATGTAAAAGCAAAGAGCTAAGGGAGGAACAGGGCGGCACCCTAAGCCCTGATCCTCCGAGTGGACCAAATGCCCTGAACCTGTACGAAGGCGCCAACCTGGAACTCACGGACAGTACCAGCCGCAGTGCTTACCGATTAAGCTAAGGTACCGTTGGTATTTTACGACGGGAAATTAAACATCTTATATAACGACTGAAAGAGTGTGATTAAAACCAAAAAGACACCGAGGGGATTCGAACCCGTGCCCCGCGCGATGCGTGGACGGCGAATCTAACCACTAGGCCATTCGGCTTTCTTAGAGTTCTTCGCAAAAATAATAGGCGGAGAAACGTGGCACATTGGTGGGTCCATCTGTTTGGGCTCCATGCACGGAAAGAAGTTGACATTTCGGGCAATAATGAGCCCACTGTTTTCATTTCTTTGGAAAATTGTATACGGCAGCCCTGTTAGTCGTAGGCCTACGTGTGCTAAACGTACTTAATTCTCGATCGTTACGCAACAATGGAAACTATTATTATGCAGGCCTTTTTTGAAAAAGACATCAGGCGTGCAGGGGTGGATCCTGGGATTTTGGCGGGGGGGGGGAGGGGTCAGGCCTGTTTAATAGAGATGTTCATATCCGATTGTTGCGGACAGGCGGACCTTATCATTATTATAATTGTTATAGATGTACATTTTTTGCGTGCGTCAGAACGTGGGTGGGGTGTTGGCGGGGGGGGGGGGGGTTCAAACCCCTCTCAGGGGTTCTGCGCCTGACTTTTACTCTTTGTATTTGGACAGACACAGATTCTCAACTCCCCTACTTCTATTTTAAAATCGTACGGACGTCTTTAAAAAGGAAACGATTTTTTTTTACGGATTTGTTTGTTAATACTGTATATCAGGCCTACATGCATATTCCGTTCGCTGTTCCCAACAGTCCTTCGTCAGCCTGTTATCAAACATTATTTTCGTAAAAAATAATATTAACTGGAAAATCTCATCCTTAATTTAAAAAACCCGACTTTTAAAATGTAGACGAAAACAACATTACACCAGGACACCACATTACACTAGGGGCGCTATTCGTGATACCGATGTGCATCTTGATACGCATAGCGCTTCGCCCGAACACCCGCCCTGCAAACAGCTAGGGCCTAGCCTAGGGCGCTTGGCCGGGAATGGCTGACGAGCTTCACGGAATCTTGTGAAGGACGGTTGGGATGGCATTCTGAGTAACTTATCATGTCCTATATATAAAGACATAATTTAAAGCTGCTGTAGCTATTTAAAGGGCGCAGGCCTTTAAATTGACTTAAATATGAATTTCTTTTTAATAATATATCTGTCCCTAAATCGAGTGGGAATGTTGTCGAGGGTCCCTTAGGAGTCTTTCCAGGTATTTTCAAATTGGAGCTTTTTCATTTTTTGACCAAAATTGACAAACATTGCAAGGGGTTAGCCTTACATTTTTTTTTAAATAAAATTGGCTAAAATATGAAATTCTTTTTAATGATATATCTGTCCTTAAATCGAAATGGAATGTGTTCCAGGGGACCTTAGGAGTCTTTCCAGGATGTTTGGAGCAATTTCCTTTTTTGACGAAAATTGACAAAAATTGCAAGAGTTTTTATAAAAATTGCTTAAAATATGAATTTCTTTTTAGTGATATATCTTTCCCTAAATCGAGTTGGAATGTGTTCCAGGGTTCCTTAAAAGTCTTTCCAGGAAGTTTGGAGCATTTTAATTTTTTGACGACAATTGACAAAAATTGCAAGGGGTAAGCCTTACATTTTTCATAAAATTAGGCTAAAATATGACTTTCTTTTTAATGATATATCTGTCCTTAAATCGAAATGGAATGTGTTCCAGGGGACCTTAGGAGTCTTTCCAGGATGTTTGGAGCAATTTCCTTTTTTGACGAAAATTGACAAAAATTGCAAGAGTTTTTATAAAAATTGCTTAAAATATGAATTTCTTTTTAGTGATATATCTTTCCCTAAATCGAGTTGGAATGTGTTCCAGGGTTCCTTAAAAGTCATTCCAGGAAGTTTGGAGCATTTTAATTTTTTGACGACAATTGACAAAAATTGCAAGGGGTAAGCCTTACATTTTTCATAAAATTAGGCTAAAATATGACTTTCTTTTTAATGATATATCTGTCCCTGAATCGAGTTAGAATGTGTTCGAGGGTCCCTTAGGAGTCTTTCCAGGAAGTTTGGAGCAATTTCATTTTTTGACCAAAGTTGACAAAATTGCAAGGGGTTAGCCTTGCAGGAGACGGCGGCGGAAGGCACGTGCTGCTGCCGAAAGCTTCGGAAGAAATGCAGGGTCATCCCCGATGTCATTGCACACTACTCGATCATGTGTTGCGCAAAACGATCGAGGAGGTGCAGGTACGGATCGGGGGGGGGGGGGGGGGGGGGGGGGGAAAGGGGTTCCCCAGCTCTGTCTAAAAAAAATAAATAATTCATCGAAATCCATGAAAAAAATGCGAAATACCCCCCCCCCCCCGCTCTGACACGCAAAAACTGTTTACTGGTAACAATGTTCGCTTTCCACAAAAATACGAACATCTGCAGCTTTGTTAGGGGTGTATGCACATTCTGTGATATAGGCCAAGTGTTAATAATCATCGGATTTGAACAGCGCCCCCATTGAAAGTATAGTGCGATCTCCACCCCCCCCCCCCCCCCCCCCGTTTACCACCTTTTGATTTTCGGAGGCCAAGTGTCATTGCACACTACTCGATCATGTGTTGCGATCGAGGAGGTGCAGGCGCGGATCTGGGGGGGGGGGGTCCCCCACCGCAATGGGCGTCGCCAGGACTTTTTCTAAAAAACATTTCTCAAAAAATTCTTGTATTTCACAAAAAATTCTCGATTTATCAGTTTAAGAGGGGGGCAGGGATTTTTCTTTAAAATTGGCTTAAATATGAATTTCTTTTTAATGATATATCTGTCCCTTAATCGAAATGGAATGTGTTCCAGGGTCGTTCACGAGTCTTTCCAGGAAGGGGTTAGCTATGGTGGCCCTGAAGGG